CAAACATATTAACGCCAAACATTCGGTAGAATTTATAGAATATTGTAAAAATTATGGTCTATTACCAACATATATAAATGTATATACTCATGTATGTATATATATATATATATATATATATATATATATATATATATGTTGGTAGGAGACCATATTCTATACAGTTTTGTATGGATTCTATTATACTAATAGAATTCATACAATACAATATATATATATATATATATAATATACGTGTTTAACGGTTCGGCTTTCTTTAAATTTCACAAGATATACTAATCTTTTATAATATAGCAATGACATCGTTATATACGTGTGTGTACAGCATTACATATGTTTGTATATATATATATATATATATATATATATATATATATATATATATATATATTGCATTATATTTTCAACCAGAAGAGAAACGTTATGTATTTAAACCTATATTCAGAATATTCTGTTTTTTCAACTTCATATTAAAAGAAAATATTTTTATATGTTGTTTGCTAATTGTGGTCTTTTATACATTAGATTATAGTAATAAATGATCACTTCGTTTTTATTGTTAACTTTGTGTTACGATGGTCGAACCACGAATGAAACGCGTCCGTCGATCAAGTTGCATGATGAAGTCATATGTTTTTACTCTTATTTTGTTTAAACTAATAGTGTCATTGGAAAACTTGGAATAGTGTCATTTCAAAAACCTTGGACGTCTAAATGAGTTTTTTTGTCGTTACATATTTTAAAAACAAACATGAAATCTGGAAAGCCAGGTTTGGAGTTTGGGCAATAAACGTTAATCGAGGTAATAAGATAACTTTCCGTAGTGAGGTTTTATAGCTTGCAAATTATTTTTTTTTCATTTTATATTAATTTCGTGTAAATAGTAGATATGAGGTGTCTGGATCCGGTCTGGTCCAAGTATATGTCTAGGCCCGGACGATACAACAATAGGTAACACTGTTGAACCGCACATCCCTAATATGTTCTCTAATCCCTAATCAATTTGTTGTGCGTTTCTTTAGATATAAGAAACAACAAGTAAGAATGTTTATAACGTATTTATTTACGTAATACAAAATAAATAAAAACGTGTTCAGCAATTAGACAAAGAAAAGTTCGACCGTAAAATGTCGCAAGAAGAAGGGCTGTTGTCTTTGTGTTGAAGTAATATAGTAATTCGTCACATGCTTAGATTAGGGATGTGCGGTTCAACAATATTCCCCTACCAGATCATCAGCGCAAGCTGTTGATCGATGCTAATCAAGATATCGAGATGGGAGGTGAACTGTTCTTCCCGATCTTGTGGTTCTCCGGGGTGATGGAATGTTGGTGTCGATTTGGGTGTGCTTGTGTCGACGTAGATGTTTCTGTTGTTGGCATGTCCTCGTCCGTTGATGGAGATAGCGTTGACGTTTTTGTTGATGTTGATGTGTCGTTCGACGACGGAATTAATTTTGTTGAAGGTGTTGTAGAAGGTGGTGTCGGCGCTGTGGTCGGTGGCATGGGTGACGGTATTGATGGTGCCGGTGAGTATGCGGGTTTGAGGCGGTCTATTGCCACCGTGTCCCTATGCCCCTTTTTGTCAATGATGAAATATTTTGGGTGTCGTTCTACCACTGTGTAGAGTCCCTCGTATGGAGGTTGTAGTGGTGAGCGGTGAGCATCCGTACGAATAAAGACCTGTTCTGTAGTGAAGAGGTCTTTTGGAATGTAACTCACATTTGTACTTGTTCTTGGTTGTGTTGCTTTTAGGGTCTCCGCCCAGCATTCGAGTTTTAATGCATAAGTGTGTACATCGGTTGTTTCTGGCCGTAGGTTTGGAAAATCTCCGGGAAGGCAGAGTGTTGTGCCGTAAACAAGTTCTGCTGGTGACAACTTTAGGTCTTCCTTCTCCGTTACACGAATGCCTAATGGTGTCACTGGTAATACATTCGTCCATTTGTCTGAACCGTGAGCCATAAGTGAGGCCTTAAGCTGTCTATGCAATCGTTCCACCATACCGTTGGCTCCCCCCAGCATTCGAGTTTTAATGCATAAGTGTGTACATTGGTTGTCTCTGGCCGTAGGTTTGGAAAATCTCCGGGAAGGCGGAGTGTTGTGCCGTAAACAAGTTCTGCTGGTGACAACTTTAGGTCTTCCTTCTCCGTTACACGAATGCCTAATAGTGTCACTGGTAATACATCCGTCCATTTGTCTGAACCGTGAGCCATAAGTGAGGCCTTAAGCAGTCTATGCAATCGTTCCACCATACCGTTGGCTGTTGGGTGGTAGGCGGTGGTGTGAATATGTTTAATGTTTAGTAACTGGGTGAATCTCTTGAAAGAAAAAGATGTGAACTGGCTGCCTCTGTTGTAATGGTTTCTGGGACTTCATACAACGAAATCCAGTTTGAAAATAATTTATCTACAATTGTTTCCGTTAGAGTATTTTTGATGGGGATTACTACTGGCCATCTGGTGAAACGATCGACACACGTTAAAATGTGTGTGTGTCTATCTGATGAAGACATTGGTCCGACTAAATCGATGTGTACATGCTGAAACCTGCTGCTAGGTAGAGAGAATTCTGCTGGACGTGAAGCTGTATGTCGATGTACTTTGCTGCGTTGACATTGCAGACACTCTCTGCACCAGTTACGGATGTCTTTATCAATGTGTGGCTAAACATACCTGGCTCTAATTAATTTCGATGTTGCTTTCGCTTCTGGATGTGACAGGGAATGGAAATTCAGAAAAACTGATTTCTGCATGCTTGTTGGAACTAGAAGACGAGGGGTGCCTAACGAGGTGTCGACGACGATATTGTTTTCTGAGTTGTTGACTGGAATTATGCTGATTTTTAGTGAGTCTGTGTTGTCAAGGAGTGTTGCATCATCCTCCTGTTCTTTCGACATCTCCTCCAGGTTAATTGCTTTTGGCGTTATCGTGGCTACCTCTGTACGTGATAGCGCATCAGCCACAACGTTGTTTTTTCCTTTCACGTGTCGAATGTCTTGTGTGAACTGTGAGATGTAGTCCAGGTGTCTGATCTCTCTTGGTGTTAAACAAAAAGAAACGAATATTATTCTTTTTTTTCCGCTCACTGCTCTTTTGGTTCGGTGTTCTCATCATCTAACGCAACCGCAACAAATTGGTGACTCCGACGTGATCGAGGAAAAACAAGCAACGAGAGTTTCCACTCCAACGCAGATCTTTCTTCGATATAACAACACAGGATTAATCCCGGCAATGCAACCTCATCCATCACGTTCGCCAACACACGCTGCGACGATCTGGTGAGAAAGTATTGTCGGATTGAAAATCCTAGCGACTAAAAAGACTAATAAATAAAACACCACGAACTAAGGAGGTGATTTGTGCGGGCTTTATAAGAAACTGCGATAACTATTCTGATAGGTATTCGGGCTGCTGATGAGTCCCCGGTAGGGACGAAACACGTGTCCAGCCTATCCAAACGAATACTATTTTTTTCTTTTCCCGCTCACCGCTCTTCTGGTTCGGTGTTCTCATCATCTAACGCAACCGCAACAACACCGAGGTCGCCATTCCTTCTTTGACTCTTACACCCATTTTGGATCCGTATATACCATACATCAGGGGGATGCCTGTCGAGCACGACGATCTCAAATCAGCTTGGCTATACGAACACCAGAAAAAGATAGTAAATATGCAAATGCATGAAATAAATCGATTAAAAAATAATTAAAATGGATAAAATAAATGAATAAAAATTTATAAATAAACTAAAAATGTGAAATTTGTAAAATTTGCTAAGTTTGATAAATAAGTTAGTTATGAAATGAATGTGAATGAGATCTGACTCTAAAACGCACTGAAAAGGTCTGCGTTCAAAGGCCTCTATTGGTATTCTTAGTACGATATGTATGTCTTATCCTACGTGTATACGCCAAGCCATACAACAAACAATGGCCCTACTCGTGGATATAAATAAATATATAATCCATAGTCCTACTTACTTTTAATCGTTGCTAGTAGCAACAGATGCTGTTTTTTGCGTTCGTCTATTATTCTTTATAACATAAAGTTTATATTATTTTCAGTTTTCAAAAGTTAGACTTTGAAACCGTAAAACTAAACTTTGGCTGAAATAATTTGTTTTTTTTTATTATAGTTAAATATTTTTATTTAAATGAAAAATAAAAGCAAAGGCGGTAAAGGTAAAGATAAGAAAAAAGATGAAAAAAAAATTGTTGGACCTCCTGCCCCGGTTGAAATCAACGAAAATCATAAAGAATTCTATATTGCACAAATTATTGATTTAGAAGAACGAGTTGTCACGTCAGTTTTACAATTTTAATTAATGATTGTTTCGTTATTCATTAAGATTAAATAAACTATAGTATAAAATAAATATAAAGATTATAAACTTATTCTAAAAATCTAAAAAATATAACATTTGAATTTGAATTAATATTAATTCATTAATTCATTAATCAAATGATCAAATCAATCTAATCTTCTGCAATAGTAACCCATTGTAATGTCATTGGCTGACTAGATTATTAGTGCATAGTAGAGCAATGATGATTGTGTTTGTAACAAGGCGTCAAAGTATTTTACTTCTTTATTGTTTTCTGACTAAGTGATAGAAAAAAAATTGTGAAAATACTATGTTTGTTTTAGAACTGTTATCGTCTTTTTGATTTACAATGCAAGTTTATTTCAAAAGATTATAATTTTTTAATTTTATAAATTTTGTTTCAAGATTACAAAAAAAGTGTGACGAGCTGGAAATAAAAAATGCGGAGTATCAAGTGAAGCTGGACCGCATGATAGATGACCAAAATGATATTGTATCTTTCATTGAGAAAAAGCTGGCTAGAAAAAGTATTTTATGTTTTAACTTTGAAAATATAAAATCAACATTACTTAACACACTGGCTCATATCCAGCCTTTTTTTGGGATAAGATATGAAAATAATTTTTTTTTTCAATGCAGATTTTTATCATATTTATTTTATAACAAGGGTTCATTAAATTAATTTATTCAAGTTAGATTTAATGTATTTTTAAAATTAGTGCTTTCTATGTATTTTTTATGACTTATGACTTATTTCTTAAAATACACAAAATATTTATACTATCTACATGAAAGCATGTGCTAGCAAGGCCGTTATTTGTTGTCTGCAGCTGCCTGAAAGTTGAAATGTGTGCTTTGAAACTATTAGGCAGCCTACAAAATCACTTGCAGACAGTATATAAAATAAATGTATCTGCAACTTGTTGCATGATATATTTACTTTAAATTAGAACCAACCAATTAAATTCAATCACCAGCTTTATGATTTTTTAAAATTTTTATCCATACATTTGTTTTCATGTCTTAACCAATCGTGTCTGGCATTATTTGTAAATATCAATATTTTTTTTCATTGGAATCTAGTTGAAGAGATTAAAGAGATGAAAGCGAATTGCATTAGAATTCAGGAAGCTAAATCAGAAGAGCAAAAATTATATGATGAACAAATATCTGCTATCACAGAGGAGCAAAAACAAGTAGAAGAAAGTTTCACAGCTGAAAATCAAATGCTCAGTCAGTTTTTATAGCAGAAATTGTTCAAATTGCTTTCATCTCAATCAGCAGCTTCATTATAAAGCTTGACGTTGATCGTAATTTATGTAATAAATTTATTTCATTTGATAATTCTATTAAGCTCGATAACATGTCTTTTTGTTCAAATGTGCTCTTTGTTGGCATGCTTAATTTGTTTCTATCACTTTTTTTATTTATTTCTGGAACCAAATGATATCAGCAAATTTTTAAATTTAAAGCCGCAAAAATTGCACAATTGGAAGAATTTCAACAAAATCGTGAGAGCCTTTACAACAACATAAAGAAACTTGAAATGGACTTATTTGCACAGCAATCTGAGCACAAGGATGCCCGATACATACTTGACAAACAACATAGAATCGAAAAAGACAAGTATGCTTTGATATTTTCCACTATATTTTGTGGTAAACTTTTTTTGAATGAAAATTTTACAAAATTTTTAAACAAGGATACAATTGTTTTTAAAAATAAAATGATGTGACGCTTTCAACGCAATCAAAAATCTAACACCATAATTTTGTGCTTTGGACAGGTTGAAACAAGAAATGATTGAACAAGTAAAGATTGTGGCGAATGAATTCAAGAAACAATCGAAGGCGCAACTCTCAGAGACAACAAAGCGTACCATCAGGGAGACAGTTGCAATCCACAATCAACTCATTCGAATGTCGGAGAAGACAGCAGAACTGATTGAAGAAAATGAACAGCTTAAACAGAAATGTTCTCAACAAGTTAAATAATGTTTTCGACAAATTTAAACATTTTATAATACAACTTTTTTTTGACAGAAAAGAGAAATTGCAATTCTTGAAGAATCTGAAAAAAAATTGATAAGAAAAAATGTTTGCAACCACCACGTTAGTAACTTTGAGTTTTTGTCAGTATTTTCAAATTTATTTAACACCATTGAAGGCCAGAATTTTTAAATTAATTAGTTCATCACCATTGTCATAGTTTAATAGCCAGTTTGGTCTGGAGAAAAAGTACAAAACTTAGTCTTCAGAAGTTTTTAAGTTGACTAGCCGTAGGTTTGGAGTATTTTTTCTAATTGCTGTATGAAATTTCCAAGGGTATATTAGTTTCCCCCCCCCCTAAAAAAAAGTATTAAAAAACGAAGCGTGAGTAAATGGCTTATGGCTTTTCTTGTTATTAAAATGGTTGCTTTGCTGTGAGGTTCAAAACTCGAGCGAGCCAGGAACTATGGGAATTTGTGGTCGAAGCTGTTTGGCAGGGCTATTATATTTTTCACAATAGAAGGGTGGCTATTATCTATTACAACTTTGGCTGTTTATTAAAATAAATTTTTCGTCAGAATACTTTTACAGTAAAAATATTTTTAAAATTTTTAATTTCATCATTCAAATTTTATATTCATTTCATTTTGGCATCCATTATATTTTTTGTAATCAAGTTGAAAAGCTACATTTAATCTTCCTGGTTCATAATATAATTGCAATTTAACTAAACACATTTCCTATTTATAACCTGCGATAGTCCAATCCTTGTAGATGCTTTTTAATTTTGTTCAGACTTTGACTCTATTGAAAGCAAAATGTCAGACTCTTGGCGATTCATTAACAAGGGGTGTAATAGAAACAAGAGATAAACTGGAAGAATTGATTGCTGAACGGAGAATCCTTATCATGGATTTGAAACAAGCGAGGTCAATGGAACTTTTAAGCTCTTAATTGTTCAATTTTTCAAATCATTTTCAAAGCTTGATTACAATTCAATTGATCCATTCAATAGCGATGGTTTATAAAACGAATTTTACAACTATCAGAAGTTCCTTAGTGGAAACATATGTAAAAAATAAAGAGCAGAATGAACTGCGCGAAAGACTGAAAGAAGAAGTACGAGAAAAGACCATCTTGAAATTCGAATTGGAGAAACTCATTGACCTAAGTGCTGTTGCAATTGAAAACGTCATCAAAGTAAGATTTTTTATCAATTTAATTTAATATGGTACGGTGAAAATATAAAATGAAAAAATAATAGGGAAGATTGAAATTCTTTATTTTTAAATTATACGTTACGTCATGTTGAAAGAACTGTAATCGTTTCAAATCAGCCAATGAACATGGAGAATTGCGAAATAGTTACAACCAACTACTCATTGAAAAGGGAGCAGCTGCTTCAGGTTCTCTTGTTACTCTTGAACTCACCGAAATCAAGTTCCGATTTTAAAAACAGCACAATGAAGACATCCCAAAGATCGTTTGATAGTTTCTCCAGCAGTGGCTATCATAACAATCACATTGAAAATGTTGCTTTTTCAAAGTTTAACTACCGAACAGCTAACTTCAGCCGCAGAACCGAATTTGAATCTACTATGTATGTTGAAGTTAATAAATTAACACACACAACAATATCCACTTTTTAAATTTGGAATGTCCAGCGGCAAATTCAATTAATCAATTAATGTCAGCGTTGGAATTATTTGTTAAAATGATTGTGATATATCAAAAACTATCGCTTGAAACAATTTTAATGCGAGTGATCTTTGAAGCACAGCATATGTTTAACCCCACCAGGTCAAGCCGGCAACTTTCGGAATCTCGTCCAGCCTCTTCTTTAAAAATGCAGCTGTCACAATCACTTGCTGCGTCGCACTATCAGTTTAAAAAGAATCAACAGCGTTTTATGGAAAACATTCCTCTGTATAAACCAGGATACTTGGGTTTGATTCCTAGTCAGGATTTCATTGAAATTGAACGTGAGAAAAAAATTAATGCGAGCATGGAACGGAAACGACAGCAATCACATTCAGCTCCTTTGAAAACTAAAGATTTAGAAGGAAAGTGTCAGTTTGTGTCCAAAGCATCCTCCATTCGATCGAAACCACCCAACTTTCCACCCAAAGTATGCGATCATTCTTATATCTTTCTTATGTGCAATTCATCATTCATTAGCATGAAATAATGCTGCGACATACTTATGAGACATTTTGTAAAACTAATTTAAAGTTAAAAGCTACGTAACCGCATGAATACTGTTATCAACAGGTTATTGCATTGGCGCAGCAACTGGTTACAAAAATGCCAATAAAAGGAATGAAGTTGCATCCGAGTCTCCCTGACGAGAAGGCAGTCATTTCCTCCGCTGCATCTGATCAGATGTGGCTCAGTTGATTGCTCTAATAATTTGAATATTTCATTCATTTATCAAACCGACTGAAAACGTTGACAAAAAGATCTTAATTGTAAGATTGTGCTTTCTTCTTTCTGTTTGTAAAGCATTGACATCTTGTTCAAGCCACAAATGACTTCTGATGAGTTCGTTGGTATGCTGAACATGATGTTAGAAACAAAGATCGCATGCTTGAATAATTAAAATTTCATTTCTATATATTCAAATTTTTTTCGAGTTATACAACTTGCTAAGCGCTTGGCTTCGATTATTTATACAGGATATTCATGTTTTGTTTGTTTAAACAAAATCTTTTATATGTTCACGGAGTTTTACAATGACTAACAAGTTTAAATAAATATTAACGTTTCCCCACTTCAATTGCAACGCTTCGTAACAATTAAATGTTTATGTTTCTAAAATAGTTTTCTTGTTTAATAAAATAATCATAATATTTACTTATTTTTATAACTGTCTACTTCATATACTCAGAATATAGCAATATACGCTAATACTTTGAACAAGCTTAAATGTGCGGACAACAAACTGCTTAAGAAAAAATTGTATATTTGTGATTGTGGAAATTCCGATTGCTAAAATTAGCGTGTTTTTAATGAGTATTTATTATATATATATATATATATATGTGTGTGTGTGTGTGTGTGTGTGTGGTGTGTGTGTGTGTGTGTGTGTGTGTGCGTGCGTGTGTAAACAAAATAAACTCGATTAATTGATTGATTGTGCGTGCGTGTTTGTGAAGGGTGAAATGATGCAAATTTTTAGCTTTTAAAACTCCGTCCAGTCTTTATAAAATTATCTATGACCAACCGACGTAACTTAACTCCCGAGCAAGAAAGTCAACATCAAATGTTGCATCTTTTCCGTAATGCCCAAATATAATACTCTAGTTGAACAAATAACCCAACTAACAGAGCAAAATAAACTGTGGAATAGCAGATTAAAGCAGAAATATTGAAAAGCTCAACCGTAAACTTTCAAAAGCTAAAAATTCGGTAGATTTTATCAAATATTGCATATGTGTATATATATATATATAACATTTAATAACATTTACCGAATTTTTAGCTTTTGAAAGTTTACGATTGAGCTTTTCAATATTTCTAAAATTAATTTTGTAATTATTATCCAATTTATAAAAATTAATTAAAATTTTTTTTAGTCTTCATTATTGCAGCTCTGACATACGCAGAACCACTTACAATTACATATATATTATCTATAATTAATGTTAGAAATATTGAAAAACTCAATAGTATACTTTCAAAATCTAGAAATTCGGTATATTTTATCATATTGCATCAATTATGGTCTCCTTCCAGTCCATATATATGTGTGCAAAGAAAAAACTTCAAATTCATCTACCAATTTTGAAGCGAACGATTTTGCTACATTCTTTTATGACAAAATTAAAAATGTACGAGAATCGATGGTGTATGATGAGAAGTTTAATCATTCATCTGGTGTCTGCTGCAGCAACCTGTTTTCAGTTTTTCCTGTTTATGACGAAAGCGAAATTGTTGAAGCAGTTTTGAACTCTCCATCTAAAACATGTTCACTGGATGTTCCTTCACACTTTTCCAAAAAATATGTGGGATTGTTTTCAAAATATTTGACTGATCTTATAAACTTATGTTTACGTACTGGGAGTTTCCGGCTATGTTAAAGCATGCTACAATTTCTCCTCTTTTGAAAAAGGAAAAATTAGACAATTCTGATCTTAATAATTATAGACCGGTTTCAAATCTGTCGTTCTTGTCAAAATTAATTGAAAGATTAGTTTCTAAGGAGCTTATGAAACACTTAGATAAAAACAATTTGTTACCGGTATATCAGTCAGGCTATAGAAGACATCATTCTACCGAAACTGCTTTGTTGCATGTGTTATCTAAGTTGCATGAAAATATAAACAACAGTATACCATCTCTTCTAGGATTCTTAGATATGAGTTCGACATTTGACTGTGTTGACTATTGCATTCTTCTGAAACGTCTTAATCATAGATTTGGAATAACTGACTCTGTCGAACAATGGTTTCGGTCGTACTTAACAAACAGAACTCAACAGTTAATCTACAAGAATAAGACCTCTTCGGTTCAAACGATAAGATTTGGTGTTCCACAGGGCTCGGTTCTCTGACCGATCTTGTTTATTCTTTACACCTCTGAAATTATTGAGACAATTGGATTACATGGTTTAGAGTGCCATGCATTTGCAGATGATATTCAGCTACTCGCCTCAGAATCCTATAGCAACTTTCATCTTGCAGTTGATCGTTTTGTTAAATGTTTGGTCGAGATCGAGAAATGGATGGCAAATAATCGTCTTAAGCTCAATCAAAGTAAGACGCAAATTCTTCTGGTTGGAACTTGGCAACAGCTGTCTAGAATTAAAATTAATTCAGTTATCATTGAGGGCTCAAATATAAACTTCATTCCCAAAGCTACAAACTTGGGTGTCATTTTTGATTCTAGACTGGCAATGACTGAACATATCAAGTTTTTATCTGGTACTGCGACCCTACAACTGCGAAAATTATAAATAATCCGCAAAAGCTTAACCAAAGATGTTATTCAAAGTTTAGTGCATTCGTTTATTCATTCTAGACTGGATTACTGCAACAGCCTATTTTATGGTTTGCCTGAAAAATCGTTATCTGTGCTTCAGTCAATTCAGAATCGGGCAGCTAAGATTGTGGTTGGTGCGAAAAAGTTTGACCATGTCACCCCGATATTCAGAGAACTGCACTGGTTGATGGTCAAAAAAAAAATTTTGTTCAAAATATCAACAATCATGTTCAAATGTATAAAGGGAATGGCGCCAGTTTATTTGAAAGAAATGCATGCACCGAAAAACTGTCTTTTAAAAATGTCTGCTTAAGGTCTGATGATAGCAACTTGTTATGTGTGCCCCAAACCAACTTGAAAATGGCTGAGAGAAGTTTTTCAGTATGTGGACCAGCCGTTTGGAATAGTCTACCAAGTCATCTAAGACAGCCCGAACTGACAGAAAAATTGTTCAAGAAATTTTTGAAATCATTTTTGTTTTCATTATAAGATTTTCAGATTTGGTTTATCGTAGCAATTCAAATGTTTTTCAAATGTTATATATATATATATAAATAAATAAATAAATATATATATATATACAATTCTCATTATTTTGAACCAAATTCTTGTAATCTTTATTTATTTTATTAACGTTAGATTAATATACAGTTTTTCAATTCATTCTCGAGTGTATAGGACATATTACGATTTTTCAATCATTTTCAGCACTTTTTGCAGTTTATATAGAGAATTTGTATAACCGAGTACTTGTTGCAGTTTATATAGGGAATCTATATAATCCAGGCCTTTGTTTCTGTTATTTGCATCTATCGTTATTATTGACTTTGTTAATTTTACTATCTTCTTTATTAGTTGATATGATTTCTTTGTTCTGGCTAATTTCTTTGGTAATTAATTTATTGCTTTGGTGTTGTGTTTTATTTCTTTGACGGCACTTTGGTCGATAGATTTTTAATGGATTCCTTAATAGCATAAATTGATTCCTGTCTTTTATAATGGTATTTGTTTTCCAGCTGCTGCTTTCGAACTGATTCCCCTGTACAAACTGGTCTGTTTCATTCATTGCCTTAAAACTCTTGATATGCCTTCCATGCCTTATATTTAACTCATTTTTTCCTCTGTACTTCTTCTGTTATCCAATCCCTGATACTATGGAACATATTCCAAAACTAACTTGTTTATCGCTTTAATGAAAAAAATCCCAGCCGTGCTGTACGCATACTGCTTCAAGTGCTTTTGCCGGATTCAATTTCTATAAATATAATTGTGCTTGGTTGTATTTTTTAAGTAATTGAACCTATTACGTTTGTCCTTAATATGATCTGGCTGCTCCTATTTTAACTTGAGTTTTATAATTCAATTTTTACTGGTTAAAAAGTGCTCTTCAACAGCTACATCCTGGATTATCATTTGATGGAATAGCTAAATCTTGAATATGGCTTCCATTTAACAGATGAAGCTTATAGAGAAATTCATTAGCGCTATATATATTTGTATGAAAATTTTCAGGAAAACGTAATTAGCTTCCTCCTTTAAAAGACAGCACACATCTTATCCGTTCTATACTTATAATTTTATTTTTATTGTTCCATACCTTGCATGTTGTTACTTTCTTTGGGCTGGCAGAGTTCGATTTACAAAATAAAAAAAACATCGAAGAACTAGTTACGCAAGTCAATATTGTCATCAATTCTTTTATTTTAAATCTTCTAATGATATTTTTGTGAAAAGAGGTTCTCCATCATCTATTGTCACAACTGTTGTAATCTTGAAACTCCTAACAACATCAATATGTTTCTCAATATTTGAAGACTTAATTGCGCTGTTGTTTGCTGTGTTGCGTCCCACGGCTTTGAAAAATAGGAACACATCGAGTGAATTTCTTTTAGAACCTAATTCAAAATTTGGAATAACATAATAATTGATATTTAAGCAGTTTTTTGTTATTAATTATCTTTTTTATCGTCCATACAGCTTACTGGTTCATTTTATTATTGTAGTTTTCGAATGAAAAGTATGCCCTCCTGTGGTTTGCTCGCACCAATCCATGCTTAATTTAATCTTTTATTATTAATTTTGTGTTGCAATGTTGTGTCGCTGCTAGAAGTTTTCTACGTTGAAAATAATTTAATGGTTGAAAATCCCAGTAAGATATTTTTAATGAACTATACAATCATCATCAGTTATGTTTAAATGCACCCCACCTTCTGCAACTGAGTTTGTTTAATTTATAATGTTCCATAATTTTACTTAGGCTAGCAATGGAAGAAAGCCTAAATAACAAAAAAACAAACAACAAGCAAAGAAACAAACCATTGAACAAGCAAATAAACCGTTGAACAAGCACAGAAACAGACAAACAAACCATTAAACAGCACAACAAGCGCACGATCTCCATTGTATTTTGTTAGGTAGGTACATTTGTTGTGAAACAGGTGAAGCAAATACGCGCCTGTCCTAATACAAAAGGAATATGCGCCGAAGTTGCATTACAGAAATAAATTCATAAATACTACATACACATACACACTCACACATGCATGCATAATTACATGCGTGAACAATTAAATAAATTTTCATTTACACGTAATAATAAAGACTTATGATATATATCCATACTGGCATATAAGACTATACAATCGTGTAAATAGGTATTAATAATGAATAGTAATTAAATCTGCAATATATATATATATATATATATATATATATATATATATACATTTATTTATTTGTTTATGCATATTTTATGTATATACATATGCCTAAATATGTATATACATACCCATTCAAATACATATGCGTCAACAAAAACTGATCTTGAGCAACTTGTGACTAAACTAACTGGTTCTATGCACAGATTCATTGTGCCAGCATTCTTATAAGAAATTATGACAGTCTGCTCTGCTCTGTAAGTTTGAAAGGTTTGTTCAGCTCCTTATTAACTCAAGACAACAATCTGTTGATGTTTTCTATTTGAAGAATCAAATTTTCAATTTATTTATTTATTTCTTGATTCCGATAGTTGATTTTTATTTAATTTTATTCTCAGCATTGGATTGTTGAATAATTTTTTAACGTATTATTAGATCTTCACAATCTTGCGGTAATTGTTTCGAATTAATAACTAAAATAAATTCGATTGAAAACGGTAATTCAAAAAACCGAATCCCATCGGTTAACAGCAGAACAAAAGTTTTCAAATTGAAAGTTGGAGGTTAGGTGACGTGCATCATAGCAGAGGAGGGATCTGTTGAAACATTGGATCCGCCTAACCAACCTGACAATTGCAGTTTCAATAGCAGTCTGTAAATTTGGACCGACAAACGTGCAGATACTGGAAGCAAGATGAGTTCGAACGATGAAGAGAAGAGCGCGCCAGGTCGCCGCGAGAGGTTGAGGAAGAAGTGGGAGGAGACGAAGAAGATTATTTGGAACAGCGAGAAGAAGGAATTTTTTGGACGGGGAGGAAGAAGTTGGGGTTAGGGTTCTTTTTATATTTATATTTGTTTTCATCTCATTAGCTAATTAATTTCTAACAAAGTAACTCTTTGCGCATATCGGTTTACTTTATAATAATTATAATAAATAATAGTGATAGTAATGGTAGTAGTAGTAGTGGTGGTAGTAGTAGTAGTAGCAGCAGCAGCAGTGGTAGTAGTTGTAGTAGTAGTAGTAACAGTAGTAACAGAACTGATAATAATTTGATGTTCTTGTTAATCTTGTTTCAGCCGAGTTTTATAAAATTTATAGATATTTTAAATATAAATACGACATATTTGTCTAAACTATGATAAATTAGTCAATGGACGCTAAACGAAAATTGATTGATTAATTTGTCTAAACTAGAAGGTAATTTTGAAGAATTTGTCATTTTGATAGCGAGAATAGTGGTGTACAACTCCTTTTATTACCTCGGGGTTGCCGGCTACTTTGCTCTGTGCTTTGCAATATTTTCAACATCAATCAACAAAGATATACCGACTCTAAGAAATTATATTAGCGCCCTCAAGTACAGTCCCGGTTAGCCGATTGAGTGATTTACTGTGTCACTAGTTGATTGTATGCTTGGTTGTGTGAATGGTTGATTGGTTGTATGGTTGGTTAATTGGCTAACTAACTGGTTATGTGGTTGGTTGGTTTGTTGGTTGGTTTGTTGGTTGGTTAGTTTGTTGGTTGGTTGGTTAGTTTGTTGGTTGGTTGGTTGGTTGGTTGGGTTGTTGGTTGGTTAGTTTGTTGGTTTGTAGGTAGATGGGTAGTTTATAAGCTGACTAAATTATTGTATTATTGGTTGGTCTGCTGTTGGTTTATGGTTGCTGGTTGATTTGTTGGATTTGCTTTTTGTGATTGGTTGTAATATTGGTTGTTTGTTGATTATTGTTTCTTGTTGAATCAATAACTCGTTTGTTATATTGTTGATTTGACGCACTTGTTATATATTATTAATAAATATTATATATATATATATATATATATATATATATATATATATGCGCTGGTGAAAGACCATAATTAATGCAGTAATTTATGAAATCTGCCGAAGTTCTAGCTTTGGACGCTAGAACTTCGGTAAATTTCATAAACTACTTACTGCATATATATATATTTGACATTTGACATTTTTTATTTCATCAAATCAAAACAAAGAAATCAAAAAAATGATATCAATGAAGAGAAATGATCTGGAAATCGAAAAAAAATATGGTTTTCTTGTAATGATCGCCAGTGAAAATTGTAAAAAAGAGAACATATTTAAAATATTTTAGTGCATGTAAACTCACATTCATATTACAAATCCTAAAAAAATGGAATCATAATTATTAAGTAATCAACTCTTTTACATTTTTAACAGAATGTCGTTTGTAATTATTGAAACACAAATATATATATATAGACCCACGTAAAACATACTTATTCACACACACACACATATATACATACACACGCGCGCACACACATACATACACACGCACGTACGTACACACACACGTACATGAGCCCACACAAAAATTAAGGGGGTTTAAATGTTAAAAAGTAGGATTTGATGTCTTTTTTAAATTTTACAACGGATTTTGCTTCTTTCAAATATATATATATATATATATATATATATATATATATATAATATATCTTTATTATGTTCTAAAATATATCATTTGACTGATCTACTTACCCATTAAACTATCTATCAATAATTACATCAATGAGATTAGTTGAGAAAATTATTTCAAACATTGCAGTGCCATTAAAATAAATAGTTCATTAATCTGTAAATATTTGACTAAATCATATAAAACAAGCAACACACGGAGCACATCGCACATATTTGCACAGACTGTTTATAACAACAACATTACCAGTGAATAAGGCATTGTAATTTGTTTTGTCAGCCAGCTTCTGTCCATTCAAACCGGTTCGAACAACTATTCTGTAGGTTTTTCATTGTATGACAACAAGCTCCAATGCTAATACTATGCTTTGTTCAAATATAACAGCAGGAGATTTTGCTTTAGTTGTATTTGTTCTAATGAGTAAAGTAAAGCACAAACAATATATATTATATATATATATATATATATATATATATATATAATATACGTGTTTAACGATTCGGCTTTCTTTAAATTTCACACACACACACAAACACACACACACATATATATATAATTTTTAATTAACATTTAGTTAGAAATGCATAGTTCTTGTCACGAAGTTCTTCCTTATTGTGATTTCATTCATTGAAATGAAAACTTTTATGAAAAATGTTTCTTACATTTTTCAAGGATCACGTGATATATCAAATAATCAAATATTTACTGTCCGTAATTAATTTCTGCTTGTTCAAGAGATGATTGCAACATAGTCTTTCACGCCCAACTATTTTAAACGGCATGCATTCAACTACACATGCACAAACATCGTATACACGCAACAACACGTGCATACAATTACACATACATACAACAACCAGAATGTATACAGCACAATACAACACAATTCAACAACCTAATTTCAATCAATCAAGTATTTATCATCAAATATATGGACTCAACTATTTGAATTATAAATGATTGGTTTGACTATATTGAAAAATAATGCATGAGTAGATAAGATTTCAAATTAGAAAATTAGAAATTTTTAAAAACCCCAAAAAATTTTAAAACTTTTCACTTGATGTTTTTTCTTCAAATTCTGGCAGCACTCAACTTTTACCCGCGACCAACCAGCGATTCAACTCTGCTCAGGATGAAAATGAACGATACGAACAGTTACAACACCTACGTTCAAATGATCTCATCGCAAATTCAAGGTCTCTCAATTTATTAGTATTGTTATTATTATTATTGTTGTTATTATTACTATTATTGTTGTTGTTATTATTGTTGTTTTTTGGTTGTTATATTTATCATTGTTATTAATAATAATTGTCATCGTTTATCTTATAAATTTTCATCGCGTAGTGGCTCAATAAAATGTCAACATCTCAAACTAACAAAAATCTTATCTGATCGTAACAACTAAAGTTACTATGCTGTCGTGTTTAAATCTATATGGGTTGGAGCATTTTATTTAATTCTATTAAACTGACTAAACGACACGACCACCACACGCAGCTTACAGCAACATGTCAGAAAGTAACGCCATCAACAACCGCAACAACGTCACGTTAAATTGTGTCGATGGTGTCGTCGCCACGTACGGCCAGGCGTGTTCCTTCGACCTTCCCAGCTACCTGGACACCACACCTGCCAACATCCTGGTGCCCAGCAACAACAGCAATAACTGCTGGCAGGATGGAGACATATCATCATTCGGATATTCAGAGGGAAGTCCCTGCGTCATGCTCAGGATCAACAGGGTTTGTTGTGGCTGAGCAGTTCATTGATGATGATGGCTGTGATGATTGGGGATGATGATGACGTTGAAAAGATTGATGATGCTGGTAAGAATTGTGATGATGTTGATGATGATGGTGGTGGTGGTGGTAAAATTATTTGTATGCATTTCCGAGCATTTGATTTTCATTTGAATGTGCAGATTTTTGACTGGGACCCGAAGCCTCTGACCTTCGACAAGACTAACTACGGTTGCGACGGTAGCAAGGATACGTCGAAGGCCTGTGAGTTTGAGAAGGTTTCAAGTTATCTGAAGTCAGGAGTGGCCGAGGGGTACATTCCTGTCAGTTGCGAGGGAGAAGTGGGTGCTTACACTTGCTTTTTGTTATTATTATTATTTATTATTATTATTATTAACTATAGAAACAATTTTAATAGGAGTACAAAACAAAAATAATGATTTTGATGAATTGATGATCCGATGATCATCACAGTAACGAGATCTCTCTTATTTAACACGAAATACTGAAATCAAAAGTTTATGATAATTCAATAATATAAAGAATGTTGCAGTGTTAATTAATAATAATTAATTTAATACGAGAGAAAAATAGACCCCTTGGCCCATTGCGATGGCGAGTGCAGCCTGGTAAAATATTTTTAAAATGGCATCATAGAAGTTCCTCTCACAATAAATATTGCACGAAGGTCTTATAACTGTGTTCATTAAATTATCGTTAATAGAGGCCGGCCACGAAACTTTGAATAAAAAAAGATCAAAATTGTTATAGAAACCAACAGGTATTATTTCAAAAGAATTTATAATAATCGAGCAATGTTTGCTGTTATCGTTTAAACATGTTTATCAATTATGAGAATATAAAATTTCTTCAAGTGGATTCGAGATTGATTTCGTGGCACATGGTTAATTGTAAAATCTATTTTGTTGTTTTGAAGAATTGCGATGTCGGGTCGAAGGGCGTTGAACAGCTGTGGCATGGGCGAATATCAGCTGATCTGCAAGTTGGATACAGTCGGCAGGAGTACATATTTTAAACCGGTGGATAGTCACAGTCAACACTTTGTTGTTTCTTTCTGTGTATCTTCTTAGAACAGACTAGGGACAACATGTTTATTTGTCTGGAGAAGGCCACCAAGTTGGTAAAAGAGGACTTTGTGTTTGGCCCCATTTGAACAAATTTGCATTTTATATATATTTTTTGTTCTGTAAATCAAACTCTGTCAAAGACAGAGAAAGTAACAACATTCAAGATATGAAACGATGTAAATAGAATTATGAATATAGAATGTATAAGTTGCAGAACTAAAATATTACCATCATGTTCTACAAACATTTCATGGTTTGAATATTTCAATATGTTCCGACTACTCAATATCAATATTAATTAACACAAAACATACTCAAGTAATACTTCGATCAGTGTTTACCACTAATTACCAATATCTGCTTCAAGCCTCTTATGATGATACTTGACATACAATAAATATGGCTACTGATGAGGTCCAACTTTTTTGATTTGACAGCTAGATCATGGCTGTCATTTTTGTTTTTTTTTTAGTAAAATAGGAGGAGTTAGATTTACACACCCTGCGAAAGACACTTAACAGCTGGCATATATGGATTGAATCAGGTTTTTTGTTTGAGATAGGATGTGGTGAAATTTCAAAGCAAACTGTGGCTAACTTTTCCGAATGCATTAGGTAGATACAGCAGGATAACTATGATCGTTCTTCGGTGTCCTTTTGCGTCTTAAAGCATGTGAGACAGCAATTGGAGTGTCTGGTTAAGCCATGAACCTTTCGGTGAAAACTTTTTGAATGTCTTTGTTCATCCCAACCATTGAGAAAACTGTAAATTCTGTCGTTGATTAGTTTTGAAAATATTTTATATCGCGTTGGCTGTGGATTAATTGGTTAAAGATTTGATGGATCTATGGCGTCACATTTTTTTGAATCAAGATTGTAAATGCCTTTTTCCCACAAGAGGAGATTCTGGAAAATGACCAACAATTAGATTGTAATTCGTATTATTGGGCATCTTTTAAATGGAATGATCGCTATTTAGTCTAAAGGACAGGGTGACAATTTTGTATTCAAATTTTTTAATATTGATATTAATAATAATAACAATAATAATAATAATAATAATATTCAATGATAATAACAAAAAGAAGTTTTGTTACTGATATTACTATTATTAATAATAACAATAATATCATTATTTTAATAATAATTATTATTTTTATAAAAAAAATGTTTTTTAATGTCTACAGTCCGATCAAGATGCAGATTACCTGTTGAACGCCACTTTCAATCCTCCATACGGATTTCCTGTCTCTTTTTTCCCCTACTTCAAGCAACCAAGTTACACCTCCCCTCCCGTCATGGCTCAATTGACAACAGTCCCTGGGGTTCTTGTCATGGTCTGGTGCAGGTTTTGGACCAATTTTGTCAAACATGACGTCACTGATCATCAAGCTAGTGTGCACATAGAAGTCTACGTTGATGGAAAGAAAGATTCACCTACAACTTCAACGGTAGTTGAAGTAGCCACAACCAACATTAAACCTTCTTCCACCACCGTAGTTGAAGTGCCTACAACTGCCATTAAACTTGCTGCTAACACCACTGTAGTTGCTGCTCCGACTACAGCATCTGTTCCTATAACAGTAATAGGCAACATAACCACAAACGCCACAGACCAAACTGCTTCTACTACTCCGGCCAGTAAAGCAAATGGAAACGCCACAAACAGCAATCTTTGAAATTTCTTCCATAATTAGTGCATGTGGAATAATTAATGGACATATAAATTAGGTTGTCCTCAAACATATTTAGCAGCAATATCATCTCATTCAATTCGATTTATGTCGATGCATGCTCGTTCAATAAACGGTTATTGTATATTTTAAATTTTTATTCATTTTAAAAATATTTTTGATTTTAATAGTTCTTTTATATTCATTCTAAATTGCAAATTTTAAACAAAATAAAAAAAAGAGAAAAAAGTTTTTTTTTCAAAAATAATGTAATTTATTGATTTTCTAGATTTCCTTGACATTTAGGTACTTCATTTTTCACTTTCAGACATAATATCTTCATATGCATTTAATAATAAGAAACCGCTATAACTTATGTTTTCATGTATGCTTAATTAAAAATTTTATATGTTACAAACAGTTAATCGAAAACTTCATTTAATAACGTATTATTTTAATACACTTACATTACGTGCATATTAATATCAGTGTTTCCAACAACCTCTGACTAATTTAATGTTTTCTGACTTGAGCCAATGGCGTCCAGAAATTTTATTGCCAATGAACTTTTGTATTTTTTGTCTAATAATTTCGGATTATTAAATGAAAATACATATGTTACTAATACGACTAAATTGTATACAACTGAGGATATTAATTTGGCTACAAACCAACTGAAAAGAAATTTGGAAACATTAAGATTAAAATGTGAAAAATTAGATAATATGATATCGCCATGGATATATCTATGGATATCGCGTGGAGCTTCAAAAAAGGAAAAACTTATGGATGTTATTTCTTTGATGAAATTCATGAAAATATAAGATTTTTGGGATAAAATCAGTGCTAAAATTCCGAAAATGGATAATAAAGTGAAGATTAATTCTGACGCGATAAAAAATGAAATAAGAGACATATCGAGTAAACAACAGCCGCAAATCACACAGGCAGACAACAACCTGATAAAGTTAAAATTAATAATAATGCGCTCAACTTTTCCAGCAATATTAACATTCCACAGAGTCACTGATGTTAGCAACAACAACAATTTAACCAGCAACAGTGTTACATGGGAAGATGAAATGGACAATTTCACCGATAAAAACAAGGAACTGTGGTCAACAGAAAAAAACGTCCTTGACTATGCTATTCTCCTGAAACGATGAACGAAAATAGCGCAGTAAATAATATCATCATTCGTCAAAACAACAATATCATAAAATATTCAGAGTTGCAAAAAACTTTCGAATAAAATTGTTTGAAAGAAGGACAGCAATGATTTCAAATTGAAAGCTGAGAAACTGTTGATAAAAAGCAGTGATGACGAGTACTTAAGTACATTTGTACTTAAGTACAAATGTAGTACTTAGATACTTATACTTAAGCACATATGAAAACCTGTACTTAAATACTTATACTTAAGTACATTTTTCAGTACTTGTACTTATAAGTAATAAATTTTTCCTGTAAGTACCAGAAAAATTTTAAGCAAAAATAAGATAATGTCAACATTTAAAAATTGAAAACTGTGATGAAAACACACACACACACATTTTCACATTGACATTCTTGTTTATCTCTCTTATTAACATTTGTTCTTGTTTAGCCATGGATAGCGGGATGTTAAGATAACCATTGGCTAATTGAGTCATTAAAAGGTGGTTAACTCACATCACTCTGACATCTATATATCTATATCATAGACTCTACATGATCTACATACACATGCACGCTATATATAGTAGTTATTATATATATATATATATATATATATAACAATCCTTATAAATATATGTGTTAAAGTGTTTTTGTTCACATTTTAAGTATACGTGTTGAAGTGTTTTTGTTTACATTATAGATATAGGTGTTTAAGTGATGAATCATTTGAAACTTTACTTTTACTCAAAAAGAACAAACTCTTTTATTGATGTAAATAAATTACTGTAAATAATGAGTTGATTTCTGAGTTTAATAAATTTATAAATATTTCAAATTAACCATGGTATGTACTTAGGTACTTATGCACTTAGTACTTATGTACTTAGTACTTATAAGTATCAAGTATACAATTTGTGCTAGTACTTAGCACTTATACTTAAGTACTTTTATTACTGAGTACTTAGTACTTAGACTTAAGTACATTTTTTGAGTACTTACGTCATCACTGATAAAAAGTCATTTTTCATGATGAGCAACATTCAACGATGTCACCGCGATGATGTCGTTGTTGAATCTTGAATGCTTGTCAACAAATGGAATCAAAGTGATTTCATGTTTTCCTGTTTTTAAAAAGTCAAACAATTCGAATGTAGATAATAAAAGCAACAATGACATGGGTTACAAAGGAATTTAATATTTTATTCAAAAATAAAAATTTGTTATATAAAAAATTTCACGATAACCCAACCGCGCCAAGATACACGAAATTTAACTCAATTGCCAAAAGTTGTACAAATCTCAATAATAAGCTATAAAAACAACCTACTTCAATGACTTGTTTCAACAAACAAAAAATAACAGCAAAAAAACTTGGTCGATTATTTAAAAAATAATAAATAAAAATAACGATGATAAGATCATTAACCTCAGCAGATGAACAGGTTTTAGACAATCCTGAAAATGCACTTAATAAACACTTCAACAACATAGCTCCAAATTTGATGAAAATTTCACGAAAAATTCTGAATGGAAGCAAACAATGCACCACCAAAATTCAAATTTCATTTTTAGTCTTGATTCTTCATTTGAAGAAATTCATGTGCGAGAGCAGCGATAGTATATGGTGGTGAAACTTGAGTGTTGAGGAGAGAGGAAGAAAGTGTACTGCAGAGGGCTGAAAAAGCTATGGTGGGGATGATATGTGGGGTTAAAGTGAAGGATAGGAAGAGTAGTACAGAGCTGATGTCGATCATGGGACTGAATGAGGACATTGTGACATTGATAAGGAGATCGAGATTGCGGTGGTATGGACATGTGTTGAGAAGGATGAAAAGGTCGGGATTAGGCGAGCGTGGGAGTTCGAGGTTGAACGAGTGATAGGAAGGTGTCGTCCGCGATTGGAATGGTGAGAGCAGGTGGAGAAGGACAGAGTGAAAGCTGGGTTGCGTGATACTGAGGCGAGTGACAGACGTGTGTTGTTGTTGTTGTTATTGTTGATTTGCTGAAAATGTCATGACGGCAAAAAGTTTACAACCAAAATATTTAAGTGGAGTTGTTGACATTCTTTCGAAAAAACAATCGACTCAACAGCTCAAATTTTGAATTTTCTAATAAACTTTTCATTTTCACCAATGTTTCAAAGTGGAGAAAGTAATTCCAATTGCGATAGAAACAAGAGATACTGATATAACCAACTATCGACGTGTTTCTTTTCTACCGGCTTTTTCAAAAATTATGGGAAAATTGATGTATAAGAAAATAGTCAATTTTCTTTAAAAGTACATTTTTTCAGACTCTCAATTTGGCTTCCTTGATAGACATTCAACAAAGTTGGCAATTTTGGAATTGATACGTGAAATTGAATTAACTGAGACAAAATTCTTTGTCGTTAGAACTTCCATCGATCTGTCAAAAGCCTTTGACTGCATTGACTATAGCATTTTGATGGGAAAGTTAGAATATGAAATTCGTGGAACACCTCTGAGATGGCTACTTGACTGACAGGACACAGTTTGTTAGATGGCAGAATAAAAATTTGACAATACTATCTAGTAACTTTGGAGTTTCTTAGCGAAGCATATTGGGTCCATTACTGTTTGTGATTTTTATAAACGATCTTCCCAAAGCATCGACGTTTTTCGATTTTGTTTGTTATGCTGATGACACTAGCATTTATTCAATAGTTTAAACGATAAAGAACCGTATCAGATTGTAATTGACGGACTAGAAATAAACAAAAGCAAATCAGTTAAATTTCTAGGTGTCCACCTTGACCAGAAATTAAGTTTCCGAAACCACCTAAATTACGTATCAGGAAAAACGGCTAAAGCTATTGGCGTTATCAACAAAGTCTGAATAAAAGTTCAACGAAAAACGTTAAATATGCTATACAAGGCCACATGCGTACCGTGCATCTCTTTCTGCAATGTAGCCTGGGCTGGTACCTATCGCACGATCACCGGTCTCATCCGATTAACAATGAAGAAGGCATTACAGCTAGTTACGTCATCAACAAAGCAATCGCACATGATACCATTATTTTTGTCAAACAAAAATTCAAATTTCGATCGGATGAATGTCTACTTCACGGCTATTCTTGTCTACAAACAGCTGTTAAAGAGCAGTTTTTAAATTGCCTCAATATCTGATATTAAATTTAGGCATGAATTGAAAAAGTACATTTTAAATTAATTCATTCAATTGATTCATTCAATTAGAATAATTTTGTTATATAACTTTATAAGAACTTGTTCAGTTATTATTTTGAGCTAATCGTTGACGTCATGAACATTAATGCAATTTGTTTGGGTGGCCATTAACGATGAATTTAATTCTAATGTTAATTCTAAAATGGTCAACCTGCTTTCTATTAATTAATTAATTTTTAGAAGCCAATAAAATTTTCGTTTCGTTCAAGTGTGATATTCATCATTGCCGTGAATTTTTTTGCAAACACAAACCTATCAACACTGGATGCAGATTTATAATCTCGCCACATAAGGAAATATGTGTTAAGTTTGTAAACAGTCGGATCAAAGTGATGATGATGAGCGCTTCCTTGTTGCGGGCATACTGTTCAATATGTTTCACTTTTCAACCTCAAAACATAAATTCGCGTATTTTTTAATTTTTAAAAATCTTTTTATACATTAATAAAATACTTCAAAACAAATTTACATCTTGTATAATCATGAGAGCAATTATAATTAGTATATGCTGTATAACGATGAATTTAATTCTAATGTTAATTCTAAAATGGTCAACCTGCTTTCTATTAATTAATTAATTTTTAGAAGCCAATAAAATTTTCGTTTCGTTCAAGTGTGATATTCATCATTGCCGTGAATTTTTTTGCAAACACAAACCTATCAACACTGGATGCAGATTTATAATCTCGCCACATAAGGAAATATGTGTTAAGTTTGTAAACAGTCGGATCAAAGTGATGATGATGAGCGCTTCCTTGTTGCGGGCATACTGTTCAATATGTTTCACTTTTCACGTTTCACTTAACAATGGTTATTGCTGACGTTTAATCTATGTAAATATTTTTTATCAACAAAAAAAGAAATAAACGTTTATTTAATAAATGTAAATTATATATGTAATGTGTTTGTAATATATATGCATATATATTATTAGAAAATTTATATAACGCTCTTCATTTAGTACGAAAAGATGTTGCCAGAATCAGGTGTGTTCAAGGAAAAATGAGCTTTGGGTTTTCGATAAAAAACTTAATAACTAACAGTTCAAAAATGTTTTCAAATCCTTTTTGAATTAAGTAAAAGACAAATTCAACTGGCGCAAACACCTTATGAAGCCATTCTAAACAGCAGTGTGCGTGTGGGTGGGTGTGGGAGTGTTTGTATTATTTTTATTTAGAACTTTGTCTTTGGTGTTTGGTTTGGTGGGTGGCCACCTATTTTCCACTATCAAAATGAAGCCAAACGGATGGTCTGAAACTTAGAATGATTCTTTCTTTGCCAGTTTTTATTAATAGCAAAATCACTGGCGTCGTCTTAACGTAAAAAAGAGGCAATTGCTAACGCAACCTACCGTCATACCTGCTTTGGTTATTAAAGAGCTTACAAAACAAGCTCCTTTGTCTATTGCTCTATCACGTTGACAACACCAGATCACCGAAGTTAACCAACGTCGGGCCCGGTTAGTACTTGGATGCTGGATGCCGTTGACTATTTTCATTCTCAATCAACATCAGCTGGTAAGGTTAACTCACCATATACAAAACGGAGAGCGACTTCCACGCACAGAATCAAAAGCAAGTGTTAATACACGAATGATGATTTCGTCACAATCCAACTCGGCTTTTGGAATCCACTTTCTCGAGGAGGCATTGATCGCAGACGAACGTGAGGCGAAAGTTAATAATTAATTAAAATCCATCATTAGCCCATCTACATTAAAATACAAATTACATATCTGCTGATCAATCAATCAATCGATCAGTGAATTAAATTTATTTAGCTCAATTTCTAAAGATTCACCTGGGCTCAACCTATAACTGATGACGTAAATTGCCGCAACGTCTTTGAAATAATACATTAGAATGATTAGATGACTCAGACGTTTGAATTTCCTTCCAAGCTATGAAACTAAAAAATGGAGAACTCATTCAAAAACCTTAATAGCACGCTAACGAAATTTATGTAATTTATAGTTTAATAAGTTTTTCTAAAAAAATAAAAAAAATGAATCGATGACGAACATTTGAGTCGTAATAACATTTTGTTAATTTCCGACTTTTAGTTTTTTCATGCAGTTGCAAAATGTGTATACACCAATTATCGCTCAAACAATATTCCAGGAATGAAGAGCATCAAGTTAATGCATGCAGGGTAAATATTTGACATGTGATCTATGAAGGTTGGTACTCCTTCGTAATGATGGCAGTGTTTGCTTAGGAAAATTAAAATTGTTGAAATAATAGTAAAAATATAGTTGAAAATAATAGCTAAAAATGTTGATTAAAAATGAAAAATGGCATACTGATGAGCTGCTGGCTCCCTTTATTTTTCTGGCAGACGTGCCTATAAATATGGAATGTTCGAGGTGCAACAGGATGATTAAAATTAAAAAAGATATTATTATATAAAACAAATTATTTATACCAAAATGGCTCTCAGTTAACTTAAAAAACATAATGGCATAAATTGATAAGTTAACAATAATTTATGTATAATTTCTTTTGTATTTTAAATTGCAAAACCGTCATGTTTTCAAAACTGTTCACGTTTTTGATGGTGTGTTGTGTCAGATTGTCTCTAAGCAGTTTGCCAAATTTCGCGATAGAGAATGATGAAGACACCCCCACCAAACAACCATCTCCACTGTTTCATCTTCCTGCTGCTGATTACAACCGCCAAGACGCTATTGAACCCAGAGTTAATTATGACACTGACTACGACTACATGGCGGGGAACTTATCAACACAACGTCAACGTAATCTCTTGCATCATCGCAAACGACACAAATCAACATCGCAGTCTTACGATAACGTTGAAAAACAAAAATTTCTACGTTTATTTGCGAAAAAATTGTTGAGAAGACCGTTCGAAGTAAAATATTCTAATAAAAGTCATGCTTTCATCAATGATAACTACTACCCTAAACTAATAAAAATTTTGCATGAGTTGAATAAAAATGATACTTTGATTGAGTTAGAAGACAAACATTTGCCTGGAATCGTTGGTGAGGATACAGAGGAAGCAAAAGAGTTTTCGGATCCTGTTTTAAACAGGGAACGTAAAGGATCGGAAGTAAAGTTTAACCCAACGGGATGGTAAATGATCATCAACTTATCTGAAATTTTTAAACAAATTTCTTTATATCATGAAACGACCAACATGACTGCATCTTAACTGTTATGTCTTTTTGATCAAAATTCAAAAACTTTGAAAACTATTTGAAATAATAATAGTTTTGAAATTCATGACGTTTTTGTTTGTAAACAATTTATTTATTCATTCATGATTTATTTAATTTTTTATGTTTAACCTAGGATTAGTTTTTAAATAAAAACAGCTGTTTAAAATGATTTCTGATTGTTCATCCAATCAGTTGCTAGTTATCAACTTGTTTCTTCTGTCCTGTCTCACCACACGTGGTTCTTCACTTTTTTCAAAATTATTAACAATAAAATATAGTTGAACCATCGTCTTCATTCTTAGTAATTTAATTAAATTCATTCATATTTAGACGATCAGACGTTTGTTCTAATATATTTTGCACTCATCCGCATAACATGTCAAACGAATTAATCAATCAATCAATTTACTGAAATAACTCCAGATAAAAAAAATTAACATAATAACAAAAATTATTTGAACATTCAAACTTAAAATTGATAAATTACAAAATTAAAACCATTTTGCAAATTTATTAAATGTTAATTCAATTTGCAAAGTGAATTAAACTGTTCACCCTGCACATATATAATGTTATAATTGGCCGGTCGATAACCGGTTACAAATAGCGATACGAAATAACTTTTAAAGTATATCGCAAATACGATGATAACACTTTCAACGCAGAATCAAATATCAAATATCGCTTTCGACACAAACAATCATCGCTTTCAAATATTCAATGTCACTCCATGTCTCAATATCTCGCACGTTTTTATATACCCGTCTTATCGACGCGTCACGAACGTCCTAGATATCTCGCTGTCAGAAGGGTTCCAGTTCCATCTCGAAAACTGTGCATACGCAGCCACACTAGCATCCATGGCGAAAACATTTGTGACGGTCCTAACAATACCCCCTTTTCAGTTCGTTGCAACGTCTGCATAGAATGGAGCCAGATCGTCAAAATGAACAATCTTCATTCTCGCCCGCGGCTTCCGAAGCTCCTAGATTTGGTAGACGATGTCGTTCAATCGAAATGTTTCGTACATCTTCTGTCTGTACTTTCTTTTCCAGTTGACTGCAATTTTTTCAACAAAGTCGAAAAAAAAGAACGCCGGCATTGTTGTGGAAGTTTGTACTAAAGGCGTCAATTCCACCAGGAGTCACCCTTCAATCGTTAGTCCAAATGCACAATGGCGACAATAATTGTTTCCAGGACGTTGTTAACAATCTCGTCATAGATGTCCTCTTTCTCCACAATTTCATCATTTTGGCGTACCATAATCCTGACTCTTCCGTTCCAGAACTATCCATTGACTCGAAGATTTTTCACGAGTTTGGTGCAGCGTCAGTCTTTGATGCTTGCTTTGCTGACACGAATGTAAGACTGTAGGCGACGGCATCTTTGAGGTTGCGTTTGTCCGCTAGTATGAGGGTTTGTCTAACATCTTAATTTTGAACAGCTTTTACGAACGTTTCCAATGCAGTTTCTTCTGTGTGCTGTTGGTCGTACGTAGGGTATGACAACAGAGTCAACCGTTTAATATCCTGTGCCAGCTGCTGTACTTACTCTCCAGGTAGCTGCTTCTGGTTTCGTAACTGGGACCGATATATTTGCTTCATGTCTTTCTCACCATAACGTAAACTCAACGCATTTACCAAAACTTCATAGTTGGAATGGTTCTCGACTGGAATCATTTGGAGAACTTCTGCAGCTGACCCTCGTAACGCTACCACAAAAGCCGTTGCCTGTTTTCTTTCCTTCTAGCCATAATTCATTGCTGTTGCTTCAAACTGGGCTTTATAGATGTTCTAAAAAGTTTTTTCGTCGAATGCTGGCACTTTCAATATCTTCGCAGTCACATGGCTTACAGGTGTGGAGTTTATTTTTTTTAGATTCTTTTTTGCAAAATAACGTCTGGTCGAGCTCAATAACCTTTTGATGAAATTTCTTTTCAATTTTTGACATGATGTTTTCTATTTTTGAATTGGTGACAAATAGCGATACGAAATAACTTTTAAAGTATATAGCAAATACGATAACACTTTCAACACAGAGTCAACTATCAAACATCGCTTTCAACACAAACAACCAATCGTTTTCAAATATTCAATGTCACTCCATGTCTCAATATCTCGCACGTTTTCATTTACCCGTCTTATCGACACGTCACGAACGTCCTAGATATCTCGCTGCCTGCCAGAAGGTCTCAGTTCTTTCTTGAACTCTGTGCATACGCAGCCACACTAGCATCCATAGCGAATACATTTGTGACGGTTCTAACAATATTAAACGTACTATAAGTTGTATAGTATCAGTGGCAAGTGTGTGAGCTGATCAGGTGGAAAAAATTTAAGGAGGGAACTGTAACTGACACACTCTGCATGAATACTTACAATGGGAAAATAAATTACAAAATTACAATTAATTTTTTATTCTGTTATTCATATATATACTTTTTCTTTACATATTTTGATAAACCAATACGAACGCTGTGTTAAATTTCTTGTCACGTAGATCGTTTAATTAAGTGATATAATAATGAAAGACATTAAAAGAAGAGAAATAAACTAAGCAACGTTCTCGACTTGTTTATTATCCACTGGATCAACAGAAAAGGAAAAAGTGAAGTTACATACAAAGCAAAGAACATTTGGTCCAAAGAAAAATAAATGTATATTATAAATCATAATGTTTTAATATAAAACATAAAACGCTGAACCTTTAAAAACTCGATATTTAATTTGTATTCATTATCAAGTGATGAAAAATGAAAGGCACGAAATTAATAAAACAAGAAATATCAACTTTCATATTGTGCTATTGAAATGAAAGGGAGGAATAATTTTGGATGATTTACGGCCGGGATGAACATTTAAACACATTGAAACATTTTGCAAAATTTCCCTGTCAACGTTTAAAAATTTTCAAAATTTGGTCACCCCCCGTTAAATTTGTTTTGACTAAATCCGCCACTGTATTATTAAATGATGAGGTTGAATAATAGTAATGATAATGAAAGATGACAATATGAAGATGATGATAATAGTAATTATAACAATATCAACGATAACGATAATGCTAATAATTGTAAAATACTATTGACACTACTACTACTATTATTACTACTATTACTACTACTAATACTACTACTACAACTTTTACTACTACTACTACTACTACAACTACTACTACTACTATTTCTACTATGACTTTTGACTTTTACTACTTCTATTATTACTACTACTTCCACTACTTCTATTACTACTACTACTTCTTCTACTACTACCACTACTACTACTACGACTACGACTATATCAGGTGCTTGCTCTAACACCCTGAATGCAACCTCCTCGTCGACAATTTGTTCGGTTGATTTGAACAAATGCACAATGAAATGTCTGTACGGCGTGAAAGTTGACGGGCACGGATGCCTAACCTGCCTGTGCTTTGATCCGTGTGAGGTGAGGAAAGTTGAATGATCCGTGTGAGGTGAGGAAAGTTGAATGATCCGTGTGAGGTGAGGAAAGTTGAATGATCCGTGTGAGATGAGGAAAGTTGAATGATCCGTGTGAGGTGAGGAAAGTTGAATGATCCGTGTGAGGTGAGGAAAGTTGAATGATCCGTGTGAGATGAGGAAAGTTGAATGATCCGTGTGAGGTGAGGAAAGTTGAATGATCCGTTTAAGTAAGTTCGAGTGATCCATGTGACGTGTGGTAAGTTGGATGATTTTCTACGGTAAGGTGAGTTAAATGTTATAGTAAGGAAAAGTGAATGATTGAAAAACAAGTTAACGCCTTTTAAGAAAGAGATGGTTAAATAACCAAATATAATATTTAGAAATTTCCTTGTCAAGAAAACGAATGGTGTCACGTTGTTCCAACATTATGCGATATTCTCCCCTGCAAATACACTCTGCAGTGTCTTAACAGTAAGCTTGTTCTTATCTGAAATTGATAATTTTTCGCCAATTGGAAGTTCAAAAGATTTTAGTTTAAAAGAATTTATTAAACCACTTAGAAGCTTAAATATTAATTTGACAAAAAAACGTAAACGAATATCCCTTAAACTAGAGTGCCCACCATTGTTGTGCCGATTCTACTGTCCACGCGGGTTGATGAGGGAAGAAAATGGATGCTTCCGCTGTAAATGCCTCGGTGACCAAAAACCGTAAGTCTTAAAAATGTATAATTAACACCTCCATTATTGCGCAATCTTCATGTTTTATACTTATCAAAATACAATCTTATCGAGCTTCCGTCCTTAAAAATCTTCCAAGTGTTTCCTGCAAAAATTAATTGTGGAGTTCATTCGAACCATCTTTTCCTTCCACTACTTTGTATTTCCAAAAAAAATTGTAAGGTGCCTAATTAATTCCAATACCTTTTTACAAAATTTGACGAAATAACAGCTCCGGCGACAAAATGGAACTTATGGAGTTTCAAGATGACATGATGAATCTGGCAGAACGATGAATTTGTTCACATGTTATTGGACGGTAGCGAGAAATTACACTATGAATTTTTCAAGACAGTTCTTACTATTCGGACAAATAATAATTGCATCGAGTCAACGAAACTTTGAATAAATAAAATTTTTATTAGTTGTTATAGCATACGTCTTAAATTACTTAACAAAAAAAATGGTTATAACAAAAATTGGAATATGAAAAAATGCTAATAAACCGCAAGCGCAATTTTTAACAGAAAAAAAACTACATCCTAATTCGATTAATCAGATTTTAAATATTATTATATTTAAGGATCAAAATAGATGAAAAATAACAACAAATCTTCGATGGAAAATTTTAAAAAATAAGGCAGAACACGATCCAGATACATGTGCAATTCAACACAAAACATTTAACCAAAGGCACGTCGAATCGAAATGCTCACAAAACAAAATGCATACGGAATGAATAACTGCGTGTTGCAATCGGCCAATCAAATAATTTCTACAATTTTTATGGTATTAGTGTTAATATTCAAAATTTTATTTCCACTGATTACGTTTAGTTGTTGACTGGTTGATTGAATAATCAGTCGCGGAACTTTCGGTTCATATTGACTCCGAACAGCATCTCCTTCAACTCTGGGAAGACCTGTCGTTATGAATATTTGAAAACATTTAAAAAGTTTTCAATGATGTTTGAGAACGCTGCACATTACATGCCGCTACAAATGAATATTATTAATAATTAATTTGACCGTAAACTTTCAGTTCGATAAAATGAAGTTTAGATGGTTGCATCAGGTAAATTGAAGTTAAATTTTCATGGCATGGATATCGGATAGTTGTAAAGAAACCAAAACTGAATTGTCACATGAATACGAATGCAACAAAACGCGCAACAACGGACGAAACGAAAATAATAACGCGTAGACAGGCATTAAGAACATAATGCAACCACACCACATTCAATAACGATCCACATTCGGCGACCAACCTGCTGGCTTATAAGTTCCAACCGGCTCTCCAAAGTGTTTATAACTCTGATCTTGCCATCATGCGAGGTCATCTCAACACCACCTGTGCTGCTCATTTTTCATTCAAATATTTGCCATGCATCATCATCACCAACATCATCATTATTATTATTATTATTATTATTATTATCATCATCATCATCATTAATCCTTTCAGCCATTCATTTTCAGCCAATCAGAAACGTATGTTTATATAAGTTACTGTTATGAGAAAATTGATATAGCACACTTTAAGTGGTCACCAAGTTAGCTCAGTCAGTAGAAGTGCTGCTATGTGTCGCGCTGCTACTATGCGATGACATGGTTCCAATGAAGACTGTCCGGAACTCAAAGACTATCTCAAACTCGTGTGATGCGAGAACTCGCGCGTGCATCCATAATGTGCATGTGTGTCGTGTGGATAGTAGTACATCCTTTGGGCATGTAAGTAGTCTTTCGTTTTCTACATCATTAGTATCACTTTCAATAACATCAACGTTCACGGGCACGAGTCCCAGGCAAATGTTTAATTAATCATACTTGTAAAGGACGGCATCTCCAGCCAGGCTAGTATGTATATTTGCTTTTGCACACTCACTAATTACTACAGATTTCTTCTCCATTCCCTACTATTCATCAGCTTCTAGTTTCAGGTCTGGCTTCATCATACCACTGTACATTCCAAGTTCTCCCTATTGTTCTCAATCATCTAGGCTCGTAACATTCCCCACGCGTTTGTCTGGTCAGTTGTTTCTGCCTAAGTCTAAACAGTTGACGACAATTATGAGCCCGATGGTAGTTAGATCCAAAAAACAATAACAATGAAATTACAAACACACCATTCACTGCTGAGGAATGATGATTTGTTGATTGTTGCAGAAACGGCCTTGCCAGTCAACTTCTTAAATCCATTCACAGATGTCGGTAGTATTTCCTATAAGTTAGCAATTTATAAAATGAATATATGCAACATTAAAAATACAATGTGCTACAATGCAGAAGTAACTGAGAGCCTGGCATGGCACAAGTGTGTTTCCAGGTAACAATAATTGTTTACAAGAACGTGAAATGAAGTTTAAGTTTAAATGGTAACCTCAACTAGAGCAACATCACACTTTCTACATTTGATTTCGACTTTGTCCTCTAGCAACTGAAACAGACCCTGACATCAAGAAACATAGATGGCTTCAGGTTACTAATACTAATTATTACAAAATATTACATACATTGAATTAAATGTCACAAAATAACAGCTTTCAACAAGGACAGTCATCATATCATCCTCAATATAATCAATTAATTTAGTGATATTGCCTCCAACCTGAGATATCAAACCTTCGAGAAGTTTCTTGTATTGAGCAGCATTGTTTGAGATGGACAGCAGTTTCCTCTGTGTTTCATCAAGAATATTCTAACGTTCAATTGGAGTTTTTCAATGATAATTTGAGTATATAAAATTAAAAATCATTCATTTTTAAAGTGTAACAAAAGTTTCTTAATATTTAAAAGTTAAAACCTTGATGTGATCTTCTCTGGCTTTCAGCACTTTCAGCCTGGCATTATTCAGAAGGTTGGATGTTTGTCTGAAAATAAAAATTCGTAAGTTGAGAACTAAAAAATGTTAAATTTATTAAAAAATAACACATTCTATTGCAACTGTGAAAGATAAAAAAAACTTGAAACTACAGATATGATCACATGATTATATGATATATAAATCATTTCAATCATTGAGTTACTTTGGTTTTGAGGCTCTTTTAATTTTGTTCTTTCAAAGGATAAAGGAAATTTGTATCCAACAAAAAACTTTTAAAAATTGAACTATGCAATTCATAAAATTGAATTTGGTTCTACTAATTAATGAATAAATTTATGAGACTGGTTAAAATGAATGATAAGCTGAAATTTTTATTTTGCCCAATTAAATGGAAACAGAGCCAATTGTAACAACAAACTAATCATAATCACAAATTAAATCTGCAAGCTAAAAACAACAAACATCTTTTTATTTAATTCAGTTTGTTTTTGCTTCTTTTGGTAGAACTCCATAATTTTAACCCTCTGCGTGTTGACAATGCTGCTTTTTTCTATGTTGAACTCCTCCTCTGCCTGATTAAAAAGTAAAATTATTCAACTTGAAGCCAACTCAAAAGAAAGTTAATTTTTTTATTATGCAAAAACTGTAGTGCAAAATTTCATTCCAATTGGGTTATAATCATGAAAAATATAGTCAAATAAAACAAACAATTTTTAATCAATCAAGTGAATATTTAATAAAAAAAAATATTTTTAATCAATCAATTGAATATTTAATAAAAAAAATAGAGTATTAAAATTAGCAAACTTGAGAACAATTGTAAGAAAAAATATTAACTTTTGTGATTATTTCCTCAACTTTCTCATTGGCTTCCTGTTCAATGAAGGCTATCATGTGCTGAATCTGTATAAAACATTTACACTAAACATTGAAATATTTGAATGACAATTTAATAAGTTTTCAACTACATTAAAAGCTATATTATCAAAGCAAAGCCATCCCAGAGGCTAATTTAATATAAATAGTTTTTTAAACAGCAAATGGACTGCTAATCGTAAATACAAATATGTAACAAAATAATATGTACTATACTTAAAGTAAAAGTGAATATGATGTCAATAACCAATTAGTAATTGAAATTAATAATTATTAATTAATTAATATACAATATACTTATTTTATAAATAATATATATTACAAAAGTAATACCACCATAGAAATAGATAAATAAATAAATATACAAACAACACATACAAAAGCACTGCAGGGACACACATATCATGATAATCAAAATTAATTGTCAATTAATTTTTAATATTTAATTATTAAATTAAGTTTTAGAATTTTACCATTTGTTTCAACTAATTTTTAACCCACTTACTGCCATAATCCAATGCGTATTTGAAACTCTTTTAATTATATTTTACTAATGGTCTATTTGCAAATATTATATTTAAACCTATTGTCCATTAATGCAAATACATAAATATTAAAAATTAAACTATATAGATTTTTCAAATTTTTGAATTCATCGAGGTTTCATTTTAAATTTGGGCACTAAATGACAATACAAAAAGTCAATTTCATGATAAGCTTTATAAAATCTGTCAATATGTTAACTTATTTGTCTTACTGAAGGCAAAAACTATAAAATTTTGTGTCTTTTCTCACAATCTCAGTGTCGATGAACAAATGATCCCATATTTTAGTTTAGGAGGTATTCATGTAAAGTAAAATGTTTATGAAGAGCAAACCTGTTCATGTTTGCTTTTGGTTTAAAATGCGGTGTCTTTATTTTTCAGATGGATAACTTTTCCATTTTATTCCTTATGGGCCTTATGCTAGTAAAGAAGATGAAAACTATAATTATAATACTTGAACCCTGTTTTGTTTTTTCTATGTTATTACGATTATCATTGATCTTTAACTTTAACTGTTTAACATAATAATGTTTCTCTCACACTTAACTGATTTCAACAAGCGGTGGTAAATGGGTTAATTAATTTTTTAACTTTTAAAGTTTTATTCTGATTAATTTTTTATATATATATATAAAAAATTTTAAATTTTTTAGAAATTGAGCGTTAATTACAAAATTGTTCATAACCTATTTTTTAAACTGTTTAAATTTTTAAATTTAATAATTTTAATCAATTTAAAAAATTTAATTTAATTATTTCTAATTCATTTTAATTTTTAATTTAATTAATTAAAATATTCAAAAATAAATTTTTAAATTCAATTCCATTTATAAAATGACCAACCTGGTTCTTCACTTTATCGTCCGACAGAGTCATTTTGAGAATTTAAAATATTTTTTTGCCAAGGATTCAAAAATGTGGTTGAAAAGAAATCAATAATTAACTTACATCAGCTTCAAATAATTAAAATTAAAATCAATCACAAATTGTTAAAAAAACTCGTGACAAAAAGTAAGTAAGACGACAAAGCATATAAGTGATAGGTAGGTAAGTAGCAATATAAAAATATAACAATAATATAATAATGTAACAATGCAACAAATATAAAATAATATACAATAATATCCAATAAATATAATAATATACAACAAATATAATATAATATATGACGAAATACATCCAAATATTAACTGGCGTGCAGATGATGTGTGTGCGCAAATTTCAGCCGGTACTAGTTTCAACAGGATAATCGTGTTTTGCCTGCTTGTTCTCATTAAAATAATTTTTAATCTTTATCCAAGCTGTATTCACGTACATTTTCTAAATAGTTTGTTACAACGTGAAACATTCAAGTTCAATTGTTTTAAAACTTCTTTTTGAAATTTTAGTATAGTGCTTCTTATCTAGTTTTAACAATTAGCATTGAATGGTATGTTTTTTGTTTTCTCAGTTACTCTTCAATGCACCATTCAAACATATTTGTATAAGTGGAGGCGAAACACTGATCTATCGAGGTGTGCAACAGGTTTCGAATCACATCAATGCACTTTTGCTGCTGACGTTAAAAGATTGAGTAACTTCAAAAATTAATGTTAAGGATATATCAGTTGTTTTATTCTTAGATTATAAGATTTGTGTAATTGGAAAAAGAAAGCTTTTTTGGACATTTATCAATACCATTTTTTGTTACTGACTTTGAAACTCAAACATTAGCTAAAACGTGCAGAACTCGAATAAATACAACTGGTTCAACAAACACACCATAAGTACAAAACAGGAAACGTCGCAAAGAAAGACATTCGAATGATTTTTTTTTCATTCGAGCCAGAAACGTCGAATAAATTATTATCGTCATACGCGCGCTGATCAACAAATTTTCAATCGGTACAAAAGTAGGTAAGGTCTCTACTTTAGCATAAATTTGAAATGACAAATGATGGATAACTGAATAATTCAATAAATAACCAAAGGTTTATTAAAATCATGTCAACAGAATTTTTTATTTTCACAACATAATTGAATAAAGTAAAGAAATAATCAAATAACAAAAATATTTATATTCAGGTAATTTTGCATTTGACAATGAAGACATGTTAATTAACATTTATGCGGATGAAAAAGAAAAGAAAATAACAAATAAGGCACTGATTGCAGACATTCTGAAAAAAGTTAGTTTATGATATGTCAGCGGCTCCTTTTGTTGTAATGGTCGTCAGAATTTGAACTTCCTTATCGAGGTTGGTCAGCGGTATGAGGGATGATGTTGACCTAGTTTGTGTTCTTTCAACCTTTTTATTCAAAACGGGTACGCTTTTGTAATGATTATTCAAATCTCTGCTACAATATTCAGTCACTTTCACAACTTTTTCTTTCCAAAAATTTTTCTGAAAAAAAATCGTCCAATCCAATTTTAATAATGATGCAAATAGATAAAGACTGGCCTGTTCTATATAAGGAAATGTAAGCCTGAAGCCACAAAATAAATGCCCATTAAAAATCGGATTAGTAAAAACTTAAAAGTAAACCTAAGCCAAAAAATGGCGATCTCGATGTTACCTTTGTTTTATTTTTTATTTTTTATAATTATTAAGCCCAGACGTTCATTCCTCCAAACAAACAGCTGAGCTCGAAAGATAAATATTAAACAAGATTAGAAAATATTGAAGCCACCATTCCTTGATCCTACCTACCGCCATCTATTCATCAACTTATTCTCATACCTAAAACTAATATTTTACTACTATACTAAAATATATTACAAAATTTATTTCTTAAATGTTATATTTATCGACAAATATGATATGATATACTTGTATTATATATTCTAACACAAATTTTGAAATAAACAAACCTTTCGTTGTAAAGAGATGACCCTGTTTATTTGGTCCTGTTTAATTTCCAGCTTAAACTTAACATGGTCAATTTCTTTTGCGATATCTGCCATTGAAACTGGATCGATGACGTGAGTTAAGTCGTGCTGCAAGTCGTCATGTTGACTGCAGACAAAATCATGAAATGTATTTATCACTATATTTAGTAAAAACTAGCTTAGTGCATTCGTAAATGTGGAAAACCAAATTCATCTGTTAAAACCTTATAAGGCAAACAACAACAACACACGTTTAGACGACATTTTCCCCGAGATTAGGGGTTGCCGTTTGGCTACCTATGATGAAACCGAAATACCTCTCGACGCCATTCACATATGTCACTCGCCTCAGTATCACGCAACCCAGCTTTCACTCTGTCATTTTCCACCTGCTCTCTCTATCCCAATCGCGGACGACCCCTTCCTATCACTCCTTCAACCTCGAACTCCAACGCTCGCCCAATCCCGACCTTTTCATCCCTTCTCAACACATGTCCATACCACCTCAATCTCGATCTCCTTATCAATGTCACAATGTCCTCATTCAGTCCCATCATTGACATCAGCTCTGTACTACTCCTCCTATCCTTCACTTTAACCCCACACATCATCCTTACCATAGCTCTTTCAGCCCTCTGCAGTACACTTCCCTCCTCTCTCCTCAACACCCAAGTTTCACCAAGTTATACTATCGCTGCTCTCGGGGCGGCGTGATGGTCTAATGGTTAAGGTCGCCAGGTGCTGTTTCGCAGTAACCGGGTTCAAATATGACAAAAAGATCCCCGCCTATCACATGCTTCGTGTGTGATGCGTCGTTTAGCATGTATTCATTTACGAAGTTTGTGCGCTATGTTGAATCCTCTGAACTTTGGAAGAGTGTTATTGACCTTTAACCTTTTTTTAATTGACCTCACACATGCTTTATATACCCTCCCTTTCATTTTCACTGACCATTTCTTTCCACACCATACCCCACTCTAAATTTCATCCATCCCACACGAACTCTGGCCGTAACAGCGCTCAAACATCCTCCATCCGCGTTCAGCTTAACCCTTAAATAAACAAAGCTTTCCACTCTTTCAACACCACCACTCAACCCAGTTCTTGCGTCCGTTCTATTAATCACACCATGAACACATTTCTTACATTTGAACGTGCCTTCCACCTTTTTCAGTCCCCCCCGCATACCACTACATCTCTTATGCACCCGCTTCTGACATCCTATTCACAATACCGAGTTAGCCTTCACTCTCCTGTCACATACCCCACAGGAGTCTATTTTATTTATCACTCGCTCCCAACTTTCCCCACTCACCATTACCTTCGTCTTACCAATATTAACTTTTAATCCTTTCTTTTCAATAACACTTTTCCATCTGTCAAATTTTAACTGCAATTCTTCCATGCTATCAGCCATCAAGATTAAATCATCTGTATACAAAATCTTATAAGGCGTCGTTAAAAATTGTTAATGGAACATCATACTTATTTTTTAAACTATGATAATAATTTTATCTCTATACAAGTATATTTGACAAAAATAAAAAATATAATCCCAAAAATATTCTAAAGTGGGAAAAGATCAGAGGTTCATTGAAGAGAATGTAAGATAACATCTGCTAACGTTTGAAGATGTGCATATTCTTCTCTTAACTGGAAGAGCAAACCATTGATGTCTTCATCTGATTCGGCCATCTTCTTTCGATTGAACGTGTAACTTCCTGACTCATTTACATCCACATCAATCATATCGTTGTCTCCAGAGTTCAAAAATGTTTTTCTACCATGTTGATGATCTACCTGGGGTGGGTCTTGAGGGACCTGAAAAATCGAAAATGTAGCTGTTGGCCCAAGTTAATTGTTCGTTATTAGTTGAATGGTACTATATCAATGTAACTCTAATTGAAATTGATCTTTCATTGCGTGTTGTACTCCTCGCAACAAAAATTATAACGAAGAATATCATTGCTTTTTACATGAAAATGACCAAAAAAGCTGTATTGAGCAATAAAAGGTCGTCAACTTAAGTATGAACAAATTTTTCAACAAGAAATTTTTGGTTAGGCCGCCAGTGCCTCTTATAAGTTCATGCATTTTATGATGCATACTAATCTATCAAAGCCACATCAGCCAGCCAATCAGTTGAGTTGGAATAAAAAAATGAGTTGGCAAGCGTAAATGGTTTCCAAATAGAGCTAAATTTATTTAATACAAATTTAACGTCCAAATCGTTATTGTCCTCATTATCATCGTTCTATCTATCCAACAAAATCATATCTTTTTAACATCGTTGTTATATTTCAAACAACTCTTTCCAAAAACATCATCATCCTTCCAAGACAGTTTTTCCAACATCCCCATTATCTTTTAAAAATCACCATTATTTTTCTGACATCAAATGTTCTCAAATAAATTAAAGCAAACACTTATAAAATTTACTCTACTGCACTATGCTTCGTTGTAGGCTGTCGTTGAAACGAAAACTGTTGTTGATGACGTTGTTGATGATGATGATGAGGTTGTTGTTGTTGCTGTTGTTCATAAGGCTGTTGTTGTTGTTGATATTGAGGTTGTTGTTGTTGGGGTAGTTGTTGTTGTTGATAAAGATGATGTTGTTGTTGATGATACGGTTGTTGTTGTTGAAAAAGTTGCTGCTGTTGCCGATATGGCTGTTGTTGTTGGTGAAGAGGATGTTGTTGTTGTTGTCGTTGCTGTTGTCGTTGTTGGTATGGACGTTTGAGAGTATGATTGAAGTGATAGAAAGCATGTGGGTATGTCGTCCTGTGTGTTTGTCGAAGTCCAATGTTCTGCCTGCTCGCCGTCAGCTGATGTTCAGATGATTGAGTAATTTAATTCGTGTTTCTGTTTAAAGGAGTTTAACCAAAAAAAATAAAAATAAAAAAATGACTTCTTTTGCTTTTTCTTCAATTATTCGGCAGCGACTTTTTTCCAGTTCCAACTGCTCTTCCAAGATTTTTACTTTATCCTTGAACATGTTAAATTTTGAAATAACAAACATCAAAATGTTTGAAAATATAAAAATGAAGTCTAAGAGTTCGAAAAACTTGAAGTGATGCGTGTTTATGGTTCAAAATATGCTAAATTACGTGTTGCATAAATAATGAAAATAAGGATTAAAAGATCAAAAATTTAATGAGATTTTTATGAACTAATTTTGTGAGTTGGAATAGAGGGATATAAATTTGTGTGGAAGCGTGATGGACGTTGGGGTTGTGCTCTACATACAACAGAGTTAATAGGGCTATTAAACAAAGTGTAATTTGTTCACAGTGTAATTTTGTGGTGCAGTCATTTTTAAGCCTTGTAAACATACTTCTGCCAGTTTTTTCAAGCTGTCTAACCTTTTCTTCTCTTCACTCAATCTTGTTCTGTCGCAACAAGTTAATTTTTCATTTATTCATTAATAATAATAATTGTTACACAAATAAACATTTTATGACTTTATCGACAATGTTAATTTGAATTGAAAACATTGTCACTCAACATTAATAACCTTTTGTGTCTTTGATAATTTTGTGCTCCTAGAGTTCTCTCTGCATTTGTTTCATCGTCGTCGTTGATATTAATGTTTCCTAGATTCAAAATATCAGTGCTAGTTCTGGGATTAATATCATCACTGTTGAAACTTTTCATTTCAGATTGAGACTGCTGAAAATGCTCCTTAAACGTTTGCTTCATTCGGTTCAGTTGTTCGTCCAAAGTTTTACATCGCTGCTCAGCCGAGTCCAACTTCAAATTGAGATCTGAATAGTTCACAAAGTAAAATATTGATATACTAAAAAACAGTTTAGTTCATTCATTCATTCATTCATTCATTCATTCATTCATTCATTCATTCATTCATTCATTCATTCATTCATTCATTCATTCATTCATTCATTCATTCATTCATTCATTCATTCATTCATTCATTCATTCATTCATTCATTCATTCATTCATTCATTCCTTCATTCATTCATTCATTCATTCATTTTTCATTCATTTATTCATCCTTTTATTCATTCATTCGTTCTTTCATTCATTCATTCATTCATTCATTCATTCATTCATTCTTTCATTCATTCATACATTTATTCAATCACCCCAAATTTGATAGAAAAGCAAGATACTTGATAATTCGCTCAATGTTGTCTTGTTCAAAGTTTTGTCTGCTAGTTTTCCATCTGGTAAGGGCATATTCATCTCATTATTGCGTTTCCTATTGGTTTGTAATGACATCTCGTGTAGTGTAACAAGTGCATCATTCTTCTCATTTTCTAACTGTCTTATCTTCTGTTGCAAATTTTTTAGAGCTGAAATTATAGCTGCAAATTGGAAGTTAACAAATAAAATAATAATTTGAAACATAAAACAAAATATTCAAAATATACTGTTTTTAATTAATTTATTACGTTTTACTATTAGCATTATAATTTGGAAAAGTAATTTTTACTTTGTCTGTTACTTTCTGGAAAAGGTATGTAAGGTTTCGACAGATCAAGTTGGAGGTTGTCATTAATAAACGGTTTGCTGATCGGATAACATTTGTAGACGGGAAATACTGAGTGCTCATCAACTCTCACTCCGTTAGCATCTACATCTACATTATTGCTGGCTATATTATTCATTTTTATAAAAGTACCAAAATAATTTTATAAAAAAGCAAATACAAATTTTTAAATAATTTTATGTATATAAAAAGATCTCTCAGCAACAAATTATTAATGTCAGAACGTGAGACGATGTGCTGTCGTGTGTACATTGACAACCTCGTCGCCAAGCACAGCAAGGAATGTTCATTATTGTTTAGGAGAGAAATATTTTAAATTAAAGTTTATATATTAAATAAAATCAATAAAGCCTATGTTCCATATTTCGTTTGATTTATCATATTTCAGTTATCAAGTTATCATCTCATACTAATTTATCAAGTATGCAGCTTCTTCCTGGTCTGACATCGCATGCAACAACTTCAGCAACTACAATTTCTTATCAAAAATTTAATTTGTTTCGCCGTTTTGTTGGCTGGCTTAATTAAAAGAGTTATTAACTTTTTACTCTTTATAATCCAGCGCTGTCAAACGCAAAGCTGCTCAAATGTTATTCAATATGTGTAATTAAACTTGTGCCACAAAGGTTGTGCTATCCACACCACACGACGCAAATATACACGCTCAAGCACCGCATCATACTGGTATGATAGTCTTTGAGTTTCGGACAGACAGTGTTTGAACCCTGCCATCGCGTAATAGCAGCGCGCAGTGGCGGATCTAGACAACTGACGGGGCGCCAAAATTTTGAAAATGGTTGTGCTTATAATTACCCATATATCATATGTCGTATGCATGGTTTATCCGTCGTTTAAACAAAGAACTATTTAAAAAAAATAAACAAGCATTATTTGTAAACTGTGGAACCACTCTTTAAACTTGATAGATATAACTGCAAGCTAATCATTAGGACAGTTTTTTCAACGTTTTCAACAGCATCACGATGGGTGTTGTTGAAAATGCTTTAAATAGAACTGTTAAACATAAATCTGATACAAGTTGAAGCGCTAAAGTACAAAGTAAAGTACAAAGGGTTGCCGTAATCGTCGATAGACTCGAAGATTAAGTGAAATTATGAGAAAAGTTAGCAGAAGATGAGTGACACTAGAGGGAAAGCCCCGATTTTAATGCAAAGCATATTGAATTTTAATTTCATACCTATGGTTCATTTTGGTATCAAATCTTGAAAAAATTTATGAAAAACAATTAAGACAACAAGATCCTAGAATGAATTTTTTAGAGAAGCGTTTTGTGATCTTCAATGATTAGTGACTGAACTTGCGGAAATTAGGAATCCAATCTGCAAAGAAACGATTGAGAAAGCAAAGTTCTTATGTGAAAAATAGGGAATTGATGTGAAATTCTGTATAAAGAGAAGCCGAAAAATGTTTGGAGAACTGGTTTGCGATGATGGCTTTTCAGTGGAAGATGAAATTTTTCATGTTAAGAAGGGCGTCCTCGGTCGAATACAGCAAGAAATAAGTAGACCATTTACGTGACTACATGATCTCAACTCTAAATTTGGATTTTTATTGAATGTTTGAAATTTATTGAAAAAGAAACCAAATGATGATGTTGTATAAATTTGGGGATGTTTTTTTTATACAGATTTTGATTGAGCAGAATTGTATGTAGAAATATATGACTTTAAAATGCTATTTTGCAATAAGAATGAAATGAAAACGTCGATATAGCCTCATCGACTCTCTTGGCTGTTTTTTAAGTGTAGAAAGAGAAAATTTTGATGTTTGAAGTTATTTTAATAAAATAATTGATTTGTTTACATCAAGAAAAGAAAAATATATTCATAATTTTTAAGTAAGAAAAAATATATTCATAATTTTTATTAATTGCATTATTTTACTTGCATTTTTGTAATAAATTAAAATAATACACATATTCGATGATACAAAACATATTAATGTATTTTTATACCTGTTTATATATGTATGTATTTTTTGACGTTTAAAAAACGATTTTAGTTTAATAATTGTCAAATAAGTACTGCTTTTCAAATAGAAATAAGTTGTCTTTTTCTATTGCATAAGACTTCTTTTATTTATTTTTTGTGTTCATCTGAAAAATTTTTACATGGGGTGGGGGCTGGGGGTGTCAAACAAGTCATGCACTGGGCGCCAGTTTTGCTCGCTACGCCACTGTCTAGATCAGCACAAGACATGGTACTACTAACGACTGAGCTAACACAGTGAACAAAGTAGTAACAATAATGAATAATAATAACGTCATTTTATACGGTACCGTGGCAAGCGACTGAGATGCATTACTATTATTACAACAAACACACAGTGTATAAATATACGAATATACGTGAATTGACGCACCACATTTTTCGCATGAGAGGCGGGAATTCCTTTACATTCAAACTAGGACACTGCATCAACAATGCCAGGTTCCTTAACCATTACACCATCGGGCCGCCCAAACATCTGTTCTTCTTCATCATATTCTTCTGCCACTCAAGTAAGCAACACATTGGATTCAAGATTATTCAAGAAAAAAAAAGCAAGTGCAAATTTCACTATTTTTCTTCTCATCTACTACACCAACGAAGCCAAATTACCACCCAGTTAAACTGAGATGAAACCTTTATTTTATAACATCTAAAATATCTTAAGTCATTAACATTGGCCATTTGTTGAATTATATTTTATTTTTTTTTCACTAATTTTTACAGTTAGTTATTTTTCATTTAGAAAATTAACTCAATAATACGATATTTTATATAATTTTTATACTGGTCACACACACATTCACAGCAGCAAACTTTACTGGAATCAAGAGTAGCTACAATGTGGCTGCTACACGTATGACTTTACACGTTTATAACGATTGAAGAGAGCTACTAAACGGCAAAGTGAGACTTGAATTTGAATATAATGACAATTAATGATGCAAACGCTTCCAGGTCACATTCTGAATTTTAATTTCTACGTATAACTCAATGCTCGACACTTATTTAAAACATTTTCATGTCAACATAGGAGTTAATTTTTACCAATATATTATTCTCCAATGAGAAATATGCACAAATTATTTTTTTCTTGATCTTGAATATTCATTTAATGAATATTTAAACAAAGGTATTTGAAAAATGTTTTGTAGAAAAATCAAAAATTGTAACAAATTCATAAATCATAATCAAGAACAGTTTTTCCTCTGTTGTGTTTTAATGAAACTTTTTTCATGGCCAAAGGTAGCTGGTCAAAGGAATAAACTGTTTCAATCACTGGTTTTATCTGTTCAAACAATAACAAAAACGTTTGATAGTGAAGGCATCTATTTTCTGTTGCAACTCTTAAATTAAAATTACTTTTTTGTTTTCAATTAATTTAGCCACTTCATCTAAGGCATCACCGTTTGGTGCATAAATAGCCCAGCCAACTTTAGTGCCAAATTTCAGTCCCTGGGAAAAAATTTATGCTATGCAATATGCAATTCATTTTGAACGTAAGCAAGTAAAATTACCTCAAAAACAAAGCAAGCAAGATCGAGCTTGCATTTAGCAAGTCCTAACGTTATGCCATATTTATCTGTGTTTGGCAAAACTGGAGTTAGGAGAGTCACATACTTCGATGAAAGATCTGGCTTTAAAAGACAAAGCACATTCTTAAAATCATTTCTTCTTATTGTATCAAGCACAAAATCATAGCTGAAACAAAATTCAAAAAACATAAACCAATAATGAAATAAATATGTTGAAATATTTAAAGTATGCAAACCTTCCATAACTACTGAGTAAAAATTGGCAGTCAGGTTGTGTGTAGTCCACAATATTAGTTGCTCCAAGTTCAGAAGCCTTTTCAAGAAAATCTTTATTAACTGTTGTCGTTATTTCTGCCCCCCATGATTTGAAAAGCTGGCCATTGCAATATTTATTTAGAATGAAGATGGCAATTAAAAAAAAGGGTGTTACGTGTTACCTGAATTGCAAATGTCCCAACTCCTCCACTGCCACCTAAAACCAAAACTCTAAATCAAAATTGAACTTCTACGATTAATTAAAATTAAACTAACACACTTACGAAAAAATAAAAATATAAATGGGCATCAACATTTTTCAATCAAAAAATTAATTTGAGATCAGAATTCATTTTTACATCCAGCAACTGGTTGGATGATGATAAAAACTAACTGTTAAATTTACTGTATATTTGTGTTGTCTATTGGAAAATATGTTACACACAGTTGACGCATTATGCGAGTTTCTCATTCGTTATTGTGACCCAATTGACATTACAGATAACCTCCCAGTTTCTTACACATAATTAGTCATTGGTCAACATAATCCAGCCAAGTCTCAGATGGTTGCATGATTTTGAAAATACCATGAGAAAAAAATGTAACCGTATCAACATGTTGGCAACAAATTAAACATTAACATAAATTTTACAATTTATTAAAATAACTATAAATACTTTTTATCTAGGAACCAGTTTGGCTCCAACCTTCCAAATGTGGATGCAGCTACCCATGTTGTGCAAGCTACATATGGGATCGAAGCTGCCTCCACATGAGTCAGTGATTCTGGTTTCAATGAAATCTGTTCGTAAAATGCATACATTTTAATTGAAGAGTAGTGATGAGTAATCTGAAAAATGTCAACGAGATTACTCAAAAAATGAAGCCTACATCTGTAGATGGTACCACAATGTATTGCGACTGTGCACCCTGGTACGTACTCCTCACAGAGCCCCACACCTCCGAAATAGATTTGGTCGAGTTAATTAGAAATTAAAATTCTAATTAGTCAAATAAATTCTACCTCTGTGCCAATTTTTAATTTCTCCAAATTAACAGATTTCCCAGCATCAACAATCTTTCCAGAGAAATCTCTACCAAGTGTTAGAGGAAATTTAACTTTTGGTGTTACAGGAAAAGACTCTAATGTTTTTAACAAGCCTATTATATTTGAGCCATAACCACCTTAATTCATAATTAGAAATATTTTTGCAGTTTAATTGAAAAGCTACAATAATAATAATAAAATGAAAAGTAATTATACCTAACATAGCAACATCTATTGGGTTAATGCTAGAGGCTTTAACTTCAACCAGGATATCTAGTGGGTCGGTTATAATTGGGAGAGGTGCATTCTCATCTAATTTTAATTCCTCTAAAGAACCATGTTTCGTAATGTGCCAGGATTTCATGTGGCTTGGCAGTGTACTCGCGTAGCGATTGAATTTGAAATGTTTGTAAACAGCAAACAACGGTATGGATTTATTCAAATTCATGGTATTCAGTAAAAAGAATTTATTTCAAAAATGAAATTGAATAAGAATGCTGCCAGTTTTTTCTGAATAAATTTTTTTAATTTATTTTATAAATTGTTAATTTGTTTAACAACAGTAAAAATCTAGTAACAATTTAAATTTAATAGTTTTAAAATTGTTGATAAATTAATTCCAACATCTCTAAACATTAATTTATTCAAACTACTACGTGTATTATATAAAAAAGGATGGCATAAAATATTTTATTTCAAGTTTTTATCTTAACTTTGGGCTTTATTATTATTAAAAGATAAAACTGAAACTTAATACTTTATTTTGAGTTTTCAACTTAATTTTGGGCTTTATTATTATTAAAAGTTAAAATTGAAACTTAAAGGATAGTTTTAATTTAATTAATAATTAGTTAATTTAATAATATAATTGTAATACAATACTTGTATTGTTTATCAAACATCATTACGACATGATTAATGATTAAGATTCTAATTTAACAATCAAAATTAAATTGATTCTACAATTAAAAAGAAAAATGATTAATAAATTAATATTAATTAAACGTTAATTAATCTATACATTGTTTATTTTATGTTTAATTTTTTATGTGACATCTATGCAGCTAGCTAATTGAATTAAACTTGACTACTTAGGTCAGTGTCTGCAATGTAGCTAATGTTAATTGCAGAGGCTTAGTCATGCAAAAAAGTTGAACATACATGAACTAAAGTGAACCTGAAGGCTGAACAAATCTGTAAAAATTCTACTTGTCTGAAGTCAACAACTAACGTTCCCTAACCCTGACCCTAACTAACACAAAATTAACACTAAATAGTAAATATCATTTCAAACTTAAAATTATTTTTATTTCTCAAAAAAATTTAATTTACAATAGTTTTAAATTTTCTGTAATAGCTTAATTTCTTAATTAAATTTAAAAATAAAAGTTAAAACTGAACTCGTTAGTTAACAAACATTTGCTAGCTTTTGCCTTTTCACAAGTTCTGAGGTTTGTTTGAAAATACGCGACAAGCCCCACCACTTCCTTACAAAAAGTATGAAATCGATCATACAAGATACAAATCTTTAAAAGAGTTACGACGCCGAAATACTCAAATAAATAACTGATTAAAATTTAGTCATTAAATTCAATCAATCCACACTAAACTAGCGAAAAAATCAGATTTCGTGCTAAAAGTGAAACTAAATTATCAATGTAATGGAAATTCCCATGAACATCAAATTCCACTCAGGAAAAGGTAAAAAAAAACTGCAGTGGCGGGATTAAACGAGAATTTAAAAGTTTAGAGAAATAAGCAAAAAAATCATCAACTTTACAATTTTGAAATCATTCCAACCGCAAATGTCTGGATCCGCCGGTGAAGAAATGCTGTCAGTTATGACTGTTGAATTGAAAACATGTTTGTATTTTTTACTTTTCTTTAAATAATCAGAATCTAACAGACGCAAAAAACTGTTACATCACTGTTACAGCATCCAACGCAATAGTATAAAATGACGGAGTAAGAATGTTTGAGCATGAGAAGATGAAAAATGAAATGATGATTCAGAAGACGAATATATAAAATAAATAATTATGCTGCTAGTTAATAACTTAGTAAGTCATGTGATCAATAAGGGAAGAGAATGATTAAGCTTTAAGGAGTAAGAATGTTTAAGCATGGTAAATAAAAATGACCACTAATAGAATTTATTAGACTAGCTAATGACTTAATAACTAAGTTAAGTGTTCGTTAAGGAAAAAGAATAGACAAAATTTAACAAATGACAAATTTTTATGTTTTGATAGTATTACCTTAAAGGAGTTTAGTGATGAAGGTCTTACCCTGATAAGTTGATTGAGTGAGGACTTGATAGTTTACGTTGACGAAGGTTGTGTGTAGCAGTTTTGATCTTTTGATTGCTGGTAGTAGAGATGGATGACGTGGTCGTTGTTATTTTCTACTTTCTTGAACAGTCTTGAATGGAGTGTGTTGAATATTAGAGTGACGGTAGGATGTGATGCAGGTAGATAGTTGAGACAAATTAGTTTTTTGATGATAGATTGTTGTTGCTGAACTTTACGTGCAGTTTTGTTTATTCATATATGGTTCATTTTACTTCATTAAGCACTATACAATATTCACGTAATTTTAATAATGTTATGCTATTTTTTCAAAGGCTCAATGATGAATTTTATAACTTATTGCTAAACAATTGTTTTTTGTTCCACCTAGTATGCAGCCTACTATCACACAATATTTTTTCACGTTCACTCAACTTGACTCAATGGCGGATTCAGAGGGGGGGCGGTGGGGGCGATCGCCCCCCCACTTTGAACTGAGGTTTGATATTTTATGAAATAAATAACAAAAAGCCAAACACTTCAACTTCTTGATTTTTTTTAAATTGAAAAACATTCTTCAAAACATTGTTCTGTTATATACATGAAATATTTACAAGACAAATGTCATTTTTCTACATTTTTTTCGGCCAAACCTTGTTATAATGTCTTCAATATCTAATTCAATATCGCGATGA